GCTAGTGACTGAGGGGCAGCTAAGAAATGTAGATTGTGAGCTGTTTGCTTTTCTTAAGTGTTTGGTAGAGAATGTGGTATTTTAGCAATATTTGTTTCCATTGAAAATTATTAAATCAAGCTTTTTAAAAGGACATGGGCACTTCTGAGTATACCTCAGAGTTGCAAGAACTATGAATGTGTACCTTATTTTCTTCATAAATTTTTATTGGTATACTATATGCTTACTGTTTAACAAGTGCTATTAGCAAATCAAAGTAAAATGTATTGGATGTAGTTGTATGCAATAACTGGTTAGAAATGCCATAAGATTAAATGTGAACAACCTCATTTTTTTTTTCACCTAGGAGGATTACCCAAGAAGCTAATTTTTTAGTTACAAAGATCACTGGACAGTATTTTACTACTGAAGGAAATAGCCCAAAAGGCAAATAATGGAAAAATAGTAAACATTAAGTAAATGCTGTAGAAGGAATTTGTAAATATTCTACACATGTAAAATATGTAAAACTGGATTATTTTTATTAAATGTATTTTAAAACAAACTTAATTCTGATTTTTCTGATTAGAGTGCAAAAGTAAGATTAACTTCAATTCTCTGAAATGTAGAATTGAAAATTCATTAAGGAAACCTTAATAAAAATAATCATCAGTTATTTTGGTGACCTGGCCCATATAGCTTCACAGATTATAGTAGCAGGGGTAGTATTTAAAAATGGAAGCAGTAGTAGTAATGTAGCATATACCTACTACCTAGAGTTAACAAATGTTAATATACTAAATAGGAAAAAAAAGAAAAAATTAGAAATGAAATTGAGGTTCCTTTAATATGCCATTCTATTCTTTTCCTTTTCAAGAAGCTTCCCAAAAGGGAAGTGACTCTCAGGAAATGTCTTTCCATGATTTTATAATGCTATTTTATAAAAATGCATATAGTAATATACAGTATTGCTTGGGGTCTCAAAATTTTATACGAATGATAGGCTATCTCATACTTATAATAAGGTTTTTTTACTCAAAGCTTTTTTATTTCTTCCGTGTTAATACGTATATAGTTTAACAGCCATTTAATATATAAAAATGCATGTACTATCTTATGTAAACAATACTACATTCTTATGCTTTACTTATGGACTCTAATTTTTCTTTTCTGTTTAAAAATTACCTTACGTGTAGCAGCATAAAGTAACAAATTTACTACGTCACAGTTATATAAGCCAGATATCTGAGCTGACTCAACAGTGGTTTTCACATAGGTCAAAATCAAGGTGTCAGTTGAACTGGACTCTTATCTGAGTTTCTAGAGAAGAATCTGCTTCCATGCTTATTCAGTTTATGTGATTTTAATGCACATGCTTCCTGTCCTTATTAGCTGTCAGCCAGGGCTTTGCCCAGCTTCCTCAGACAGTCCACATGCCTTGTCACATCGCATTCTCCATCTGCAAGCTAGCAACTATGCTTAGAATCTTTTTGGTTGAGAGGTCTGCTGTTTAAAGGGAAAAAGAAAAAAACACCTCACCTGATTGGATTATTCATATTAAGTGCAATTTACTTGGGACTTTAATCTCTTTATAGCATGCTGTACCTAGATTAGTGCTTAAATAATCAGGATGCGAATCATAAAGTATGCATTTTCAATTGGTGTTGATGTTGCCATATTTTCACAATGTATTTGTATCACTTTACACTTTAAAAATGAAGAACTCCCCATCCCCACCCCCAACCACCCCAGGTGCCTGGGTGGATCAGTCAGTTAAGCATCTGACTCTTGAATTCAGCTCAGGTTTTGATCTCATGGTGGTGAATTCAAGCCCTACACTGGGATCCATGCTGGGCGTGAAGTGTACTTTAAAACAAAAAAATGAACCCCTTACCTTGTACCATATGCTAAAACTAACTCAAATTAGATCAAAGATACAAGACCTAAAACTATAACAACTCTTAAAAGAATCTATAGGGGAAAAACTTCATGACATTAGATTTGGCAAGGATTTCCTGGATATGACCCCAAAACAGAGGCAAGAAAAGTGGGAAGAGAAAAGACATCAGGCATCTGAGTGACTCAGTGGGTGGAGTGTCTACCTCTTGATTTTGGCTTAGGTCATGATGGGTCATGACATGGAGCCCTGTGTTGAGTTCTGCACTGTGTGTGGAGCTTGCTTGAAATTTTCTCTCCCCCTACCCCTTGCTTGCTCACTCTCTCTCAAAAAAAGAAAAAAAAAGACAAACTGGACTACATCAAGATTTAAAACTTAACATGTATCAAAGGAGTGTTAAGCAACAGAGTAAAAAGAACAGTATTTACAAATCATATACCTGCTAAAAGACAGCTCAACAATTAAAAATACTAAAAAATGGGCAAAGGACTTACATAGACATTTCATCAAAAATACCTAGAAATGGGGGCGCCCGGGTGGCGTAGTTGGTTAAGCGTCCGACTTTCGCTCGGGTCATGATCTCGCGGTTCGTGGGTTCGAGCCCCGCGTCGGGCTCTGTGCTGACTGCCAGCTCAGAGCCTGGAGCCTGTTTCAGTCTGTGACTCCCTCTCTCTCTAACCCTCCCCTGCTCACGCTGTCTCTCTCTCTCTCTCCTAGAAATAAATAAAACATTAAAAAAAAAAAAAAAACAACCATTTAAAAAAAAAAAAAATACCTAGAAATGGCCAATAAGCAAATAAAAGAAGCTCAACATCACTAATCATTAGGGAAATGCAAGTCAAAACCACAGTGACATATCTCTTCATACGTGTTAGGATCACTACTATCGAAAAAAACCACAAACCCTAGAAACTAATTAAGTGTTGGTGAGGATGTGGAAAAATTAGGACCGTGTGTACTATTGATTGGAATTTAAAATGATGTAGTTGCTATGGAAAATTGTAGTATTTGCTTTAAAACATTTAAAAGGCATTTTCTTTTTTTTTCTCTTTTTAATTTCTATTCTCTTTATTAATAATCTACATATAAACTGAAAATATTAGGTCATTTGTGACAAAAGACACATTGTTTTTAGACTATTCATATGAACATAGCTCCCTTTCCTTGTCAACAGTGACAAGAATGCAAACAATTACAAACCAAGTCCAACCAGACACTTTTTCAGTAACATCACTGACAACAACTCAAACTAATTGCAAAGAATATAAAACATTATCAGAGTATAAAAACTGTACATGACAATAACAAATTATAATAGAAACCCAGATATAAAAATTATTAATAAATGATTATATGTTCATATGTGGTAAAATCAGTCAATATACGATAAAAAGTCCAAGACAGATTTTTAAAACCAGAAATCCAATTTAAACTTTTCCCACTTCTTATTTATGATAAAAATTAAGAGGACATAACATACACTGATGTTTGGGTTGCATATTTTTACTACAAAAATTTATATTTTCTTTCAAATAATGAAAATGTCCTTTTGTAAGTAATACAACTCTATTTCATTGTTGAGCTTATGACTCCTAATGCCTTTTTAAGAGCTATTACAATTTGTACTGTCAATCACACATATTGGTACTATGTGCTAACAGCCTTTGTGGAATTTATATAGGAAAAAAATAGTTGGAACAAGCACTAGTCTTATTTACATCTCTTTTTTATTGGCCATCTTAATTGCTTTGCTCCAGATTTCCGAAATCAATTACACCATATTAAGGATTAATCACTTGTTATTAAATATTTAGTGCTTTATCTCAGTCCCTGAAACCTGTCTGAGTTCCTACATTTCTGATAACTACCATTATGTGCAGGGTTTTATCTATGGAGACTTCATTTCACTGTTGGCAGGCATAGGAGGACAGCTCATATACCAGTAAGAGGAATTTCATTATAATGTGATGTTTAGTTTATAATCTATTCAACTAATTTTATTTACATTTTAAAAATTAAGGAGAGACAAGGGGAAGGATCTAGTATTTATCAGAATCCCTATACATTAAAAGGCATTTTCATATGATCGAGCAATTTCACTGAGTTAATATGCCCCCAAAATTGAATGCAGGTTCTCAAATATACATGGTCATCAGCACTGTATGAATGTATCTGTTTCGCTTCATCTCTAGCACTCACATAATCTTTGTGATCTTCGCTAATTTGGTATCTCATTATCATTTACATTTTTTAAATGTCTACTGCTGTTAAATAGTTCCTCAAATTTGCTCATCATATATGATTCCTTTTTTTTTTTTGTGAACTGATTTATATTCTTTGTCTATCAGTTGGAGAGTATTCCAAATTTTAGCAGTTTATATGCATCTGCATTTTATGTAATACACATATATTATACAATTATATACACATATTAAAAAAGAACCTTTCTAGCTTTTCTTCTATACTTCAGCTTATATATTATTGAACATTCCCCAATCTTTCCTTATCTTTTATTTCATATTATTATGTATATTAGTTCTGTGTATAGTCTTTATCCATTGACCTGCTACTACACTAAATAATGTAGCTTCATATTACTATCAGGACATTTTAATGTCTAGTAACACTAGTTCCTCCTCATTACTTCTTTTTTCAAAATTTATTTGCCAAGAGTTTGTCTTTTATTAATATTTCTTAAAGCCAACTAAATGCTCTTGCCTTAACACTATAAATAGTTTATATTTTATATTTTTATTTCATTTTACCCTGTTGTTACCTCATCTGTATAAGTAGCATTCAAGGTAGCCATATATCTTTTTTTTTTTTTTTACTAGAGATCCTAACTAAAGTTTTATAAAACTTCTGACAGTGTAATGCATTTTCTTTGACATAATAGTGATGTTATTAATATAGAAGCATTCCAGAAGGTATTAAGGATTTTACTTAATGCCTTAAAATTCAGCATCAAAACCAAAGAAGTTAATTCAGTATGGTTTGAGTGCTAGCATTCTGCATAGTTCTGGCTCCAGAGTGTTACCACACCAACAAAAAAAAGAAGCTATAAAGGTAACTAGTAATGCTTTGAATATACTTCAGCCAAAGCCCCACCATGGTAACTTTTTTATTGAAGTTAACTTAAGGAAATTATTAGTTTTAACCTTTCTGTGGCAAATGAAGAATCTTGAAAAATTCCGCTAAAACAAGATACATGTATTTCAAAAATTAACAGTCAGTCACTTCTAGGCATTGTTATTTCTTAGAGCATTAATTTATATTGTTGCTTAAGCCAAAGATCCCTTTCATCAATCAAAATAATTTAATAATTTTTTTTCTCAGAAATCACTTGTTTTTAAGATGCTGGCAAATACTGAAAATTTCATAAAGTATAGTAATATAATTTATAAAATCCATCAACACAAAATATTAATAAATTTCTGGTAGGAAATGTTTGAGTATTTTAGCTACCTTCTAAGACCTATAGAAATACCTATAAAACATACAACTTCTGAAGATGTAGCAACATTTGTACAGTCCTTTTTTAAAAGTGTCTTAATATAAACAGCTTTCAGTTCTGATTTCAACTGATTTATCTCCAGAACATGATATTTGACGGCAAAGAGCAGGATCTTTTGAGAGTTCTGGTGCAGTTTTGATCTCTGTAAGGGTGCTGGATTGAACAAAGGCAGCCCGCAGAATTTAAAATGTGAACAGTTGAAAACACAGGATCAGGCAGTACAGGGAATTCTGAAGCTTTCCACCAGGGGGTTTTTAATGGAAAATTGTCTTTCACAAGATTTTTTTCCTTATTCTCATTTGATGTGGTGTCTTTCTCTTCTAATGCCCGAGCTAGCATGTAACTGACTTTTCTTTGGTGAGCCAGAGCTTCTTCCTTATCATTCAACTATAGGGACAAGAATTAAAAATACATGAATTAGTCAATAAATCACAGAATAGAGAGCTATAATCAGAAGAATTTTTCTCAGATGATGCTCTATATCTTCAATCTGTTCCATCAATGTAAATAAGTTAATCTAGTGATCCCCAAGTATGCTACAGATTAGTGAGGACTTTTTTTTAAAGGAATAACAGAAAGCAGCATTCCTTTTGCTGAAACTTTTGTAGGTTATCTGAAGAGAAAAACATATATACATGGTGTTTGTGTGTATATATGTATATAATATCAACATGTAATTACTCTGCAAGAGAATGCTGAAGTTCTTTATATGTGAAAATTTTTTTATATATTTTTATGTGAATAAATAACTTTAACACTCTTATATAGATAAGAATATTCATATAGCAGGAGTCTTTTAGTTTAGTCATATATGAAATAGGGATGATGATTCAAAGATATAATGTATGAGAAAGTTGCCTTGTATATTTTAAAAATCTCTGAATAAGTAGAAGGTCTTGTCATGGACTGTATGTGTAAATGCAGACGACAGAGATGCCTGGAGTTAATTACAGGGAGCCCCCTCTTTTCAGAGGTGAAGCTTTAAACTTGTATAGGAAGAACATGGATGGGAGAAGTGGGAAGAACATGCAGGGAATTTAAGGAGATGAAGATCAAAACTGGAGGATGGTACCTCAGCTGGGAAAAAGGGCATTAAAAGGCAAGTACAGAGTGGTAAAGAACTGAATTTTTTAAAAAAGAGTTGAATTAATAGGAAGCAAAAAGATTAGCTTAATCACAACCTCTACCAAAAGAAAGCAGAAACACTAACCAGCTCTGTTAGCATCTGAAAGACTTCCTGAGGATTATCCTGGTCTTCAGTCTTCTTAGAACTGTTTTCTGAAGGGAGCATACCCAACAGTTTCTGTCCTAAGGTCTTCTTACTTCCTTGTGATGGTAATCCTAAAATTGAACATGCAAGTCCAACTGAAACATAAAAAGACACTCACTAATGTACTTACAGGAAAAGAGGTAAGTACGTCTGAACCAAGGATGATTCATTTGTAAATCAATCAAGAGGTCAGTCCCTTCTGGAAAAATCTGGTGAGTCAGGCATCACAGTGTAGTGGGAAGAGAACACAGACTTTAGAGGCAGGATGGCAAACAGAGGTTGAGTGGGCCACAGTGTAAGGATCCAGAGCAGTGCTCTCCCTGCAGCTCTACTCCTCAGCTCCTGGCGATGGCTGTCCCTCAGGAGAGCATGCAGCCCACGTTACCAGATCGTCTCATTCTTCCAGAGGAAGCAGCGATCCAAATGTGTGTGTGTGAAATCTCCCAGTGTTAAATGTCAGCCACTTACCAACATTATTTGACAACACTATGCAGACCCAACAAAACATGTCTGCAGGCCACAAGTGGTCTCTGAACCATGCAAATTCTGCATTAGAGCAGAAACACCTGGACTTGAATCCTCACTTAGTCACTTACTCAGTGACCCTGGACAAGGTCTCTGAGTTTTGTTTCCTCACCTCTAGAATGAGAACAACAGTATCCATGCCTCAGGATTGCTGTCATTAAATAACAGAGCACAGGGGTTGGGAGAAGGAAGTGGACATTGTTTAATAGGTACAGTTTCCGTTTGGAAAGATGAAAAAGTTATGGAGATGGATGGTCGTGATGGTTATACAACAATGTGAATCAAGTTAATGTCATTTAAAAATGGTTAAAATGAGGGGTGTCTGGGTGGCTCAGTTGGTTAAGCATTTCTTGGTCTCAGCTCAGGTTTTGATCTCACAGCCATGAGTTCAAGTCCCACGCTGGGCGTGAATCCTGCTTAAAGTTAAAAATAGTTAAAACGGTAAATTTTATGTCTCTTTTATGGACAATTAAAAAACATCTAGCCTAGGTACTGACCTAATGTTTACAAGTCCACATCTTGAAATGTATACACTGATGATGTTCTTTATAGAAAGGATGCAGTTTTATAGCAGAAGGTACAAAAATTGTGGATTTATACAAAGAAAACATCAAGATTGCCTTTGAAATGCTCTGCAGATGGTCTGATGGAAAACAGAACAGATAAAAAATTCCCTTTCCACCCAGTCCTGATAAACCACAGCTACTGGGGCTCACTCACTGACCTCTTGCTCAAGCAACTGGGGCAAAAGTAGAAGCCAGACAAGTTGATGCACTCATTAGCTTTGATGAGTGAATGAATCTATGTCTCTATTTGCAGTCTTAAAAAAAAAAAGAAATAAGAAGCTTATAACTTAATGCTCAGAACTCATCTAAGCTGCCCTATCAATAAGAAAAGTTAAAATGTTTTCTAAGATGTTAACCACATTGAAGAAACTGACCTGTGACAACATCCTGTACCTCTTCAGGTTACTGAAATACATGAATAAAATGAATCAGTCTTGTCATTAAGAAACTGACAAAGAGCTACTGACGCTTATATGGACTTGTAAAGGCCTTTCTACAATGAAGCAGTTATTTTAAACTCTGCTTCCAGTCTCTTCAGGGCCTTAATGAAAATAAAGATCAAGAGCTGTATCTATCAAATCATATTTTTAATGGAAAAGTCCTTGAGGTTTGTCATTATAAGAAAGGCAAGAGTTCTAGAATATAAAATAAGTACGTATTCAAGTGCTGAAATGAGTATTAATCTACCTCTTAGGAAAAACCTACTTTGTCTGTCGAGCACTACCCTTGTGGCCAACTTCCATGCACAGTTGGGTGGTCTTCTATGCAGATTACAGAAAGTGTCAGGCTTTCATAAGATTGTTTTAACCATGCCTTTCCCTTCCTTTTCTTTCTCCCATAACTCTTCCATCAAAACAGACAAGCAATTAAGATGAGATTTCCAAAGGGATTTGCCTTCAGTTCACATCACAGAACACCAAGGTTGTCCTCAAAGAGAACACCTTTGAAAATTAAGCAATCCAGGTCCTATCAAGGGCTCAGCTTAGAAGAGGTGCCTGGAGATGACCTTCACATTTGTGGTCCTTGAGAGAGCTGGATAATAACATTCTCCATCAATTCCTAAAACCTTAAGTATAGAGAATGCGTTTGCTTATTTGCCTGGCAGAATCACTTACACTGAGTTGGACATTAAGGTTATACCTTCGACTTCTATCAAGAGGTTATTATAGATAACAGCTACATAAATGCTGATTTTATATTTATCATAAGTGACTGTTGGAGACTTAGACATATTAGCCAGCTCACTGATTTCTGTTGTAAGTCTCATATTAGAAAACCATTTTAGAAATTAACTTCAGGACAATGTGGAATGCCTTCTTAAGAATCAGTGTTGAGAGTTACATTTTCCTATGTTGCCCTGACTTCTACCTGATAAACAGTTTAAATGCAGAAATCTTATGATCTGCTTCTATCTATTTTCATAGTTCTTATTTACTGCCTTTTTTTTTTTATCCCTATACACTTAGAGCTTTTTACCATTTCATCAAAGAAGTGGGTAAAGTTCAGTTAATGAAGCTAACATTTCACATGACTTGATCTGTATATTATTAGGGGAAGAAAATAAGTATCTTATTAAAAGTTTCATTTTTAATATTCTAAGATTAATATTTCCAAGGTTCATCTGAACATGAGAGATATTGGAATTAGGATTATGGGTTTTGACGTATTAGAAAATATTTAGAATACAATCCTCTCAGAATTTCAGTATTAAAACATTTAAACTTACAAATTTCATTATAATCAGTCTTGACTAATAAAAGATTTCAGATTGGAATTTTAAGTTGAAGCAATATAAGTTGTGCTGAATAATATGAATAAAAACTGATACTGACCATTTAGAAAAACTAAAAATTCTAAAAAATAACAGCTACTTTGATTATATTGGATGATCTACTTCCAACTGTCATTCTTTTATTCCATTTTTGTATATTTTGTTTACAATAGTATGGTACTGAAAAAGGGCCATGAACTTCTGATAGGTTTGTGAACAAAATCTAAACTTTAACTTATGCTTCATTTTTATAAGAGTATTTTATTAATATTTCCAACCTAAGGTTTTTCCTCTACTCCTCAATCTCCCTTTAGAATCACACATTTCAACAAAGTTTAATTAGATACACTTAATGTTTGCGTTTCACTATTACTTCTCGGCAGTTTCCCTTTAATCATCTAGCACTCATAAAGTTTTCCCACTAAACATGGTCTTATTTAAATGAGATAGTTGAGAGGTGCCTGGGTGACTCAGTTGGTTAAGTGTCCGACTTTGGCTTAGGTCATGATCTCACGGTTTGTGGGTTCGAGCCCCATGTCAGGCTCTGTGCTGCCAGCTAGCTTAGAGCCTGGAGCCTGTTTCAGATTCTGTATCTCCCTCTCTCTCTGACCCTCCCCTGCTCATGCTGTCTCTCTCTCAGAAATAAAACATTTAAAAATAAATAAATAAATGAGATAGTTGAGGGATATCTGGGTGGCTCAATGGGTTAAGCATCTCTCTCTCTCTCTCTTTTTTTTTTTAATGTTTATTTTTGAGAGAGAGAATACAAGTAGGGGAGGGTCTGAGAGAGGAAGACACAGAATCTGAAGCAGGCTCCAGCCTTTGAGCTGTCAGCACAGAGCCCAACGCAGGGCTCGAACTGATTAACAGTGAGATCATGACCAAAGTCAGATGCTTAACCAGCTGAGCCACCCAGGCACCCGGAGGCATCTGACTCATGATTTCAGCTCAGGTCACGATCTCACTATTGAGATTGAGCCCTATGTCGGGCTCTGGGCTGATAGTTCAGAGCCTGCTTGGGATTCTCCCTCTCCCCTGCTCCCCTACCCAACTAGTGTGCATGCTCTCTCTCAAAATAAATAGATTTTTACAAAAACTTTAAATGAGACAGTTGAATAGTAAAAAAGGGGATTGTCTTATTTTATGATTTGGGTGATCCCAGTACCTCTTCTGCATATGTAACATCCAATGACCCTTTCTGCCCATAGTTGGTAAATTTTGTACTAAATCACAACTGTGACCTTTAATTATATTCTCCTTCACATTTAACTCTGCATAATCAACTTTGATTATAACCAACAGCTAAAATTATACCTGATTGTTGCTATTATAATTCATATTTACCATCCTCCTTAAGGTGCTTCCAATTTATCCATTTTGTTGCTTTTTTACACATTTTATCCATTTGTGTCAGTCTTAGTGCCTGGTCATTTTTCCTCATTAATTGTTGCTCAAATGCAATTCTGAATGCATCTGCCATTATGTAAGCTTCTTCTTTACTCTTCTGCAAAAGTCCCAGCTAGTTTTGAAAGAAAGTTTGAGAGATGTCACATGCAAAACCAGAACAATTCTTGCCTAAATGCTGTCAGATTAGCAAATGTAGTCTCCCTGCCTAGCATGGATCTACAGTCTGATGTTTCATCTGCTTAAACTAATTAGTACTTGCTGATTCCGCTCTGCAGTAGCTGAGCACTATGAACTGGATTGCCAGAAATTTCCCTCCCAGTGCCTGATCATTCCTTGTTAATCCATTTCTTGGACCTCACCTCATTAACACAGACAGGCCCTGTGTGTGTCCTGCCAAATGAATAAGAAGGGAGGATGCCAAAGGCTGTATTCCAATTCTGCCTTAGGCTACTTTAGACAGTATCACTGAAAATAATTATGAATGTCACTTTTCGGATACTTGCCATAACTGACCCTGACCTATCTTTGTAATCGTGTGCTTGTCTTAATGAACTGCTAATTTCTAGCTGTTATTTTTCCTATATCTGAAGACTTGAAATTCCATACTTTCAATAAAGGTAAAAATATTTTTTAAATGATGGTCCATGTTCTTTATTTGTTATTAAAACTAAGTATAATGGCAGCCATCGTTTGATCAAGTGCCAGCACCTGCATGGCACAGTGCTAAACATTAAATGTCTGCTGCTTCTATATCTGAACAACAGCTCAATAGGTAGTTACTGCTCTCTGTTTAACATATGTGTCCAAACCCACACACCTAGAAAATACTAGAGCTATACCTCAAACCTAAGTCTGGCTGGTACAGAGGTCCCTTCCAGTGTACTTTGCTGTCTTTCTGCTAAGCTTCATGTTAATCTCCCCATTTATCAGTAGATAAATGTAGATGCTAATGATTTTAAGCATAAGCTTTTTCCTCTGATGATTATTATAGTAATTTGGGGGACCATTTATAGAGAAAAGAAACAAACTTCGGAAATATTAACTATAAACTTAGGTAAACAACTTTATGTTGCCATAGTATCATGCCAAATACTATTTGTATTTTGGAACCATGTAAAATCCAGTTTGTATGTTAAAAGTAAACCATAGCCTATGACTACTACAACAAAGCTAATTATTGCAGATATTTCCCTTCTATTAATAGAGGGGGGAAAAAAGCTTTTAGTGTTTTGATAATACGGTACCTCCTGTTTGAGCTTAAGAAGCACTTTCCAAGCCGATGCCGCCATTTTGGCACATGCACAGGGACTCCCTCCAGGACCGTGGCAAAGGCAGGCTCTGAGGACAGCAAGCTTTAAATCCAAAAGCATTAACTCCCATTACTGAGGGTCACACTAGAAAGCTGCACACAAACAAGGGCACACACACACATGCACATTTCTATTTCAGCATGCAATTCAAAGAAACAAAGAAACGAAAATAGAAGAAAGCTGAGAGGAGGATTTCAGGATTCAACTACAAATGAGGAAACACTTACTACTTGGAACAAAACCATAAAGGAGTTCTACCTGCTTCTTTTCCTTCTCCAAAACTTAAATTGACACCAGTTTCTATAGTCGAAATTCCTGACAGGAACTTGAAGTAATATTAAAATCTACCATGTCGATTTGTGACTGAGCTTAGTCTTGCTGTCCAGCATTTACTCCTGCCAGTTCCCACTAGGGAGAGGTGCATGCTCAGAAATGATGAATCAATTTTGTTTTTAATTTTTTAATGTTTTATTTATTTCTGAGAGAGAGAGACAGCGTGAGCAGGGGAGGGCCAGAGAGAGAGGGAGAAACAGAATCTGAAGCAGGATCCAGGCTCTGAGCTAGCTGTCAGCACAGAGCCTGACGGGGGGCTCGAACCCACGAACCGTGAGATCATGACCTGAGCTAAAGTCGGACACTTAAACAACTGAGCCACCCAGGCACCCCCGATGAATCAATTTTAAGATGTCAGGAAAATAACCATCCCTCCATTTCTACAAAAAATACTTGTGATTGTGTCATGTGACCCACGGCTAACACAGCTTATGCTAAAACTATAAAAATGAGAAATAGGGCAAGAAGCAGTCAGCACATCTAGTGTCCAAGAATGTAATGAATGCATGGTGCCAATAAGGTTGAGAACTGCCCTGGGGAAACCGATGGGCCTGTCTTAACTGCAGTCTCAAATTGCTGAGTATAGTGCTATTCTAGAACATGTCATGGATGATGATGGGGAAAAGAAAAGTAGAAAATTTCCCTCTTGTTCAACTTTCATACCTGTTTACCTACCTCAAGACCTGATGAAACCTCTGTGAAACCACATTTTTCATGACACTTGTGTTCCTGAGCTGCCATCTGCTGTTTGATCTCAAGCATGGCAAGGGCCTCCAAATACTGTTGATTTAGAACTAGGAAAGGCCAAAGAAAAGAGTGTTAGTTATAAAGTCTAACTCCAACCTCACCTAAACAACTAGTTACACCAACATCATACACTCACTTCTTAAAAGCAGTGCATATAGACAGACATTGCCTACCAAATCTGCCCTAGCCACAAAATCTGATAAAATAGTGGGTATCAAGTGAGATAATAGATACATAACATTGAATGAAATGTTACTGTATTTAATGTGGAAGTATCTTAGTTTTTGCATCCAAAGGCTGGTCTTCATTTATTCAAAGAGAATTTGTAGGATTTTCAAAGGCAGAACATATAAATGCAAATTATTTGCACTTGCTGGATAGTGAGAGCACCAGATGATGAGATCTCATACATTAATATCAAATGTTCCAGCTATCCAAACTCTTACACTTTTCTGTTAAGAGTTTTCACAAGCTCTCAACCATTTAGAACAAGAGGGGTCCTACTATCTCCTAGAGCAGAAAATAGTAACTTCTCCCCCACTTGTAAGTGTTGCAGAGTGAGGTGGTAGAGGGGGAGCAGATGTGGTTATCGGCTGCTTCTTTCTTGAACTAACCTAACACAGGTGAAATCTTCCATCTGCTCTAATCACAGGTATGGAGAAAGCACTATGTTCTGTGTGCAGGTCTCACCCAGGATCTCTGCCACAATTCACTTACTAAACTACAGACATTGCCCTTCCCAGGCCCATGACCTGATTTAGTACTTACTTTGTCTCCATCAAGTCACTACTTTAAAACAGTTTCTGCGGGGCGCCTGGGTGGCTCAGTCAGTTAAGCGTCCGACTTTAGCTCAGGTCATGATCATGGTTCATGGAATCAAGCCCCACCTCGGGGTCTGTGCTGACATTACAGAGTCTGCCTGGGATTCTTTCTCTCTGCCTCTCTCTCTCTAAATAAATAAACTTTAAAAAAATATTTTTAAAACACCTTAATATTCTTTTATTAACTTTTGTCATAAGGTAACTCATTACATGAGGAGTGTGTGTGTACACACATATATGTAAAAAAATTCAAGTTTTTAATCAGTATCTTGAAAAAGTAAGAATATTAGTATTGGTAATAAAGTCACAAGACATTTTATGGGAAAAAATAATTTTGAATAATTATACCGTTACATACTTTTCCTACTAATGTCCCAAAAAAACATACTTAGGTTTCTGAAATATGAGGTGCTTTACCATTTTGTTTTACACTGAGTAGAAAAACTAAAGGATAAAGGGAGAATGGGGAGAAATGCTTAATGGACACAAGGTTTTACTATGGAGTTATGAAAATCTTTTGCAACTAGAAAATTGTGCAGCATTGTGAATGTTATGAATTACTTTTGAATGGTTAATTTTGATATATAAATTTCATCTTAAATTTTTTTTAATCAAAAAAATCTAAATGATGCATTTCTTGGAAGTATACTACTTTGAGATAATAGCACTTTGTCTATTGATATGTATGTTCTTAACATAGTTCACTCTTATTTAAAGCTGATATTTTAACATAATATTCTTAAGGAATCATCAAAATGGTACTCTTCACTTACGTGCATTTTCTGACTTCAACATTTTAATTTCTTCTGTTTTCACATTCAGAGTTTCTTTGAGGACTGCATTTTCACAGTTTAGTCTGGAAAAAAGTACCACCAAATAACTAACACGTTAACATTTCATCATTGAATGAGAATATTTGTATCCCATAATCAGAAAACAAAAACCCAGATAAAATTTTTTCTACTTCAAAACAGTCTAGAACTTCTGTGTGTCACAAAACAAAAACAATTTAGAGTATGGTAATCCTTCCATATCATTACCTGAGAAAAGAATCAAAAGTATCTCAAATTAAAAAATAATAAAAAGGAGGGGGCTGCTGGCTCAGTCAATAAAGCATTCGACTCTTGATTTCAGGGTCATGAGTTCAAGCCTCACATTGGTTGTGGAGCATACTTAAAATAAAAATTTAGGGGTGCCTAGGTGGTTCAGCTGAGCATCTGACTCATAATTTTGGCTCAGGTCATGATCTCACAGTTCATGAGACAGCCCCACCCGCATTGCATTCTGCACTGGCATTGCTGAGCCTGCTTGGGATTCTCTCTCTCCTTCTCTCTCTCTGCCCCACTCCTGCTCAGGCTTTGCTGTCTGGTTCACTTTATTTTTGTGCAGACTTAGCTGAAAAATATCCTAAAAGGCAGTCTACTGGTAAGTGCAAATCTCTATGTGTGAATCAGAATTTTCTGGATTCTGTGCGACGAAAACAAAATATAAAAATGAAGACAATACTACTAAATGGGCATAAATTAAGATTTATGACACATTCTCTTGAGGCACTTTCATGCATTGCTAGTAGGAATGCAGAATGGTACTAGACTTATAGACAAGAATTTGATAACATCTAATGAATCCAGCAATTCTACTTCTAAGAATTTACACTAAAAGTACATCTCCCAACACAAAAATGTGTATGTCAAAGCTGTTTACTGCAGCACTGTTTGTAACTGCATGATGCTGGAAACAATCTAAGTGCCTATATATAGGAGAATGGTTGAATACACCATGGAGTGGTTTCCTGGATATATTGTTAAATAGGAAAAAAACAGTGCAAAAGAATATGTACAGTCAGCTGTTCTTTGGTATGAGAAAGCGAAATAAGAAAACAGACATATCTGCCAATTTATGCAAACAGAAACAGGAAGGATAAATCAGAAAACAGACTGATTATAGATGGTGAGGGGAAGGAAAGATGGCAGGTTGGGAATGGGGAAGAGGGCGTGGTGGGGAGAATGACATTTCAGAGTATACCTCTCAGAATAGTTCTGAACTCTAGATAGCAAGTTTGGTTTTGCAATTGTGTGTGTTAATCAATTCTTTTTTTTTTTTTTTAAATATTTTTATTTATTTCTAGGAGAGAGAGAGCATGAGCAGGGGAGGGTCAGAGAGAGAGGGAGATAGAGACTCAGAAACAGGCTCCAGGCTCTGAGCTGGCAGTCAGCACAGAGCCCGACGCGGGGCTCGAACCCACGAACCGCGAGATCATGACCTAAGCGAAAGTCGGACGCTTAACCGACTAAGCCACCCAGGCGCCCCGTCAATTCTTAAGCTACTTTCTGCATAGTCTGTGACAGAACAAGCAAGCAAACATTGGGTGAAAATAGCCATGTTTCTCACTGGAAGTTACAAATGTGGAAAGGGGTAAGGCTCAAATGCACCCTGTGGTGGTGATGGTGGTGGTGGTGGTGGTGGTGGTGGTGTGTGTGTTTCCAGTCGTCCTCTCAGAGGACCTCCTAGAAATGACCTCCACTAGCAATAAGCACACCTCACACTAAGATCTTGATTTCAAAACACCATTCCCCACTAAAAGGAACCAGGGATCCTTGGAGAGATGCCTAATATTGTATGCATAATGGCCTATTACGTATCTTGTACCACAAGAAAGTGCTCCAGCAATAACAGGGAGGTGTCAAAAAAGCCACAGGCACCATCTTGAAGGGACTCCCACTGACCGAAGCTGGAAAACTTTACACAAAAAAGAAATTATGATAGTAACCCAATGAATAATGCAAGAATCCTTGAATCCATTTTGGTATAAACAAATGGGGGAGGAAAAAAGCTCTTAAGGTAAAATGCCAGCAAATAAATGTAGAAGGAATAACAATTAGAAAATGACCATTTGGCAACTGTCATAGTAATGATTGCTTCAGGCAGAATAAGTGGATGTATAAACTAGTGTGTAAATCTGATAAATCACATAATCTCACAGCATTTCCCTACAAGATGCTTATTAATCACAAGGGGAGAAATGATGGCTTTATAGTGGAAAATCAGGGCAGATACCACGCCTTAACCACATAGTCTACATTCACAAGTGAAGAACAGGACAGATCAACACTGCAGGCCCCCTGATATGATGCACTGATAACACAACATGGTTTCAGTGGTAATATTGTCCAAAATGCATCACCTGAATCAAATTCAGAAGTACCAGACATCTCCACGTTAGGATATTATAAAACTGCCCTGTCCTCCTCAAAAAATGTCAAGGACAAAGAAGCACTGATAAATGTTCCAGATGTTTTTCCCCCCACCCCTCACTTTGCCCTCCCTCACTCCTCATAACTGTTTCAGATTAAAGGGGACTTAAGTTTAGATGTGACAACCAGATGCAACCTGTGATTCTGGACTGGATCCTAGAACACGGGAATTTCTTTTTTCTCTTTTGATATAAGGGTATTATTACTAGGATAACTAGCAAATCTAAATAAGGGTTGTAGATTAAATAAGGCTATTAGGAGGCACCTGGGTGGCTCAGTTGAACATCCGACTCTTGGTTTTAGCTCAGGTCATCATCTCATGGCTTCGTGGACTCAGAGCCCCGCATTGGGCTCTGTGCTAGCAGCATGGAGCCTACCTGGGATTCTCTCTCTCCCTCTTTGCCCCTCCCCCACTCTCTCAAATAAATAAACTTTATTATTTCTTTTTTAATTTTTTAATGTTTTATTTTATTTATTTCTGAGAGAGAGAGACAGCATGAGCAGGGGAGGGTCAGTGAGATAGGGAGGCACAGAATCTAAAGCAGGCTTCAGGCTCTGTGCTAGCTGTCAGCACAGAGCTTGATGTGGGGCTCGAACCCACAAACCGTGAGATCATGACCTGAGCCAAAGTCAGACGCTTAACTGAGCCACCCAGGTGCCCCTCAAATAAATAAACTTTTAAAAATAGGAAGAATATTAGGTTAATGTCTTAATTTTGATCATTATACTATGGTTATGATAGAGTTATATGCCTTTTAATTTTTATTTATTTTTTAAAGTTTATTTTGAGAGAGAGAGCATGGGCAGGGGAAGGGCAGAGAAATAGTGAGAGAGAGGATCTCAAGCAGGCTGCACAATCAGCACAGAGCCCAACATAGGACTCATGCCCACAATCTGGGAGGTCATGATCCCAGCCAAGATCAAGAGGCAAGACGCTTAAACTACTGAGCTGCCCAGGTGCTCCGACTATGTCCCTTTTTAAAAAACACAAACTGAAGTATTAGAATAATAAGGCCTTATATGCAACTTACTCTTAAATGGCTCAGGTATCTATCTTTATCCATATATTTAACTACAAAGCAGGAGACAGAATGTTAAAGCAAATGTGGTAAAGTTCTACTTTGGAGAATCTTGGAGAAAGATACACAGGAATTCTTACTGTTCTTGCAACTTTTCTATACATGTTCAGTTATCTCAGATTAAAAGTTAATAATAAATTAAAAATTAGGTACTAAAGCCATCCAGAACCCCAGATATCAAGTCAGTTTCTCGATGATTGACTTTATGTGTGTTATAAAGTTACTAAACAAATTTACACTGATAAAAATTGCTGAAAAGATGTTTGAAAAACAAATGCCAATGATAAAATGACTTAGAAAACACGGCTTTTACATTGCTTTTTAAATGTTTTTATGTTTATTTTTTAAGAGAGAAAGGGAAAGAGAGATCCCAAGCAGGCTCCATGCTGTCAGCAGAGAGCCTGACACGGGGCTCAAACCTATGAACCATGAGATTATGACCTGAGCTGAAACCAAGAGTCATATGCTTAACCAACTGAGCCACCCAGGCACCCCTAAAGTTTTGTTTTGTTTTGTTTTTGGTTTTTTTGAGAGAGAGAGAGAGAAAGGGAGCAAATGAGTGAGGGGCACAGGGAGGACAGAGACAGACAGAGCTCACCCAATGTGGGACTCGAACTCACCAACCAGAAGATCATGACCTGAGCCAAAGTCAGATGCTTAACAACTGAGCCATCCAGGTGCCCTCAAGTTCCCTTTATTTTTAAATTTATTTTTTTTTACACGTTTATTCATTTTTCAAGAGACAGAGAGAGACAGAATGTGAGTGGTGGAGGGACAGAGAATGGGAGACAGAATCCAAAGCAGGCTCCAGGCACAGAGCCTGATGTGTCGAACTCACAAACCATGAGATCATGAGCTGAGCTGAGGTCAGTCACTTAACCAACTGGACCACCCAGGAACCCAATTTTTTATTTTTTATTTTTAATGCTTATTTAATTTTTTTTTTATTTCTAATTTTATTTTATTTTATTTTATTTTATTTTATTTTATTTTATTTATTTTTTTTTTTTTACAAATAGTTTATTGTCAAATTAGTTTCTACATAACACTCAGTGCTCATCCCCAAAGTGCCCTCCTTCATGCCCATNTAATTTTGAGAGAGAGAGAGCTAGCCGTGCAAGCAGGGGAGGGGCAGAGAGAGAGGGAGATAAAGGATCCCAAGTGGGCTCTGTGCTGACAGCAGAGAGCCCAGTGCAGGGCTTGAACTCATGAACTGTGAGATCATGACCTGAGCTGAAGTCAGACGCTTAACCAACAGACACCCAGGCACCCCTAAAGGCTTTTTTTGGGTTGTTGCTTTTTTTTTTTTTTTTACGTTTATTTTGAGAGAGAGAGAGATCGTGCAAGCTTAAGCGGGGAAGAGCGGGGGTGGAGGAGAGGAGAATTCCAAGCAGCGGGATCTCCGTCTCACAGCATAGAGCCTGATGTGGGGCTCAAATTCCATAACAGTGAGATCATGACCCGAGCCAAAATCAAGGGTTGGATGCTTAACAGACTCAGCCACTGGGGTGCCCCTCACATTGCTTTTTAAAATATAGTTTAGGGGCACCTGGGTTGCTCAGTCAGTTAAGCATCAGACTTCGACTCAGGTCATGACCTCACGATTCATGGGTTTGAGCTCTGCGTCAGGCTCTGCTGACAGCTAGCTCAGAGCCTGGAGCTTGTTTCAGATTCTGTATCTCCCTCTCTCTCTGATCCTCCCCTGCTCACGCTGCCTCTCTGTCTCTCTCAGAAATAAATAAAACATTAAAAAAATTTTTTTTATATATAAAATATAGTTTTTGGGGAGCTCAGCTGGCTGGCTCAGTTGGTAGTGTGTGCATGCAACTCTTGATCTCGGGGTTGTGAGTTCAAACCCTACTGTGAGCATTAAGCCTACTTAATAAATAAATAAAATATAGCTTATATTTTTTAAAAAAGATAATACTAACAAAAATATGGAACAGTAAAGCAGATAAGCATTAGAATTTTATAATATTCACAGCTCACAGAAAGAGAAAAGAAAGCTTAAGCCTCATTTAAGTTATACACACTTTATGGGGCACCTGCCTGGCTCAGTCAGAAGAGCATGTGATTCTTGATCTTGGGGTCATGAGTTTAAGCCCTACACTGGGAGTAGAGATTACTACTTAAATATTAAAAAAATAAAAATATAAGTAAATAAATTATACACACTTTAAGGACTTCCAAAGAAAAACTACAGAATAAAAATATACAAACCTGTCATATTTTTGGGTCCACGATTCTTCTATATTTTTAAATCTATTCTGATCAAATTCTATTTCCCATTGCAAGGCATTTATTTCCTATAGAAAGAAAATAGCATTTTTCATGGAAAATTACTACAAATCACTTCAGGACATTGTGAATAGCTGAAATAAATCATTTAATCATTTAACAGAAATAGGTTAAAGTGAAGCTAATTATTGTTCAAAAAGAGTATGGCATTCATAAACATGTACAATGTGACTTTTTAGCACTCATGAAAAGCTTTGCCAGAGCTTACTTATATAAGAAAAATTTCACATTGTTCAGCTTCAAACTTTGCTTCTCAGAATCTAGATTCCTCATCGCCCCCACTCCCAACCTATACAGACCCAGAAGCAAGCAAAATCCGCTCCTGGGAGTGTGAACCCAAGACACTGCCATTGAGGGAGGGTTCAGAAAGAACTGGAACAAGACCTTCCAAAGTGATACTTTACTACCATTTTAGTGATGATGAGATGGTCAGAGAGAGGCAGGCTTTGCCAGGCAATAAGAAAGAGAAGAAGAAAGAGAAGAAAAATAGTAAGTGTCAACTTGGCAAGCTTCCTACTACCTTAAAATGAGGAAATAAAAGAAATCTTGTTTGTCCATGTAACAATGTTTTGGATTGTAAGTTCCAAAAGGGGACTGTGTAAAACAGAAGCACAACCAGCAGACCTACCCATTAGTCTGGTGGTTTTTAAAGGAAAGCTTGGTAGTTGGAACAAGTCTGCACTAAAAGTGGCAAATACCTTCTCCAAGGATCTCTTTTGTTCCACAGTTTTTTGAAGCATCACTTGGGTGTGACTTGTGGCTTTGTCAAATATTGCCTAAGAAAAATAAAAGTCATATCCATATAAATTAAATTTCTCATCACTCCTTTATGCACAGTAAGGTTCACATTTTTATTCTAAGGCAGCAGAAAACCAGAGAATTTCCAGAGACCACCTTTCATGGAGAATTTGGTAGTTCAAAAGTCAGAAGATCTTGGCTTGGCTCTCCTGAGGAAGAGGAGAATGAATGAATGAACTTTCCACATAAAGACTGGTACATGAACAAATAGAGCAGTGTTACTCACAATAGCCCCAAAGAGGAAAAAATGTTAAGTGCCCATCAACTGGTGAACAGACACACAAAATGTGGTATGTCTACACAATGGAATATTATTAGGCAATAAAAAGGAAGACAGTACTACACCGGGCATAAGCCTCAAAAACATGGTAACTAAAAGCATCCAGACACACGTCCTATCGTTCCATTCATGTGAAATAGAAAAGACAAATCCAAAAGGCAGTAAGGAGATGACTGGTTGCCTGAGGCTGGGGATGGGAATGGGAGGGACTGCTAATGGGTTAGAGGTTCCTTCTGGAGAATACTGGCAATGTTCTAGAATTAGATTGTGGCAATGATTATCCAACTCCAGTAAAGATAAACTATATGCCAAAAACAAGTGAAATTTATGGTATATAATTTTACCTCGATAAAACAGTTTTAAAAATCTATGCCTCCAAAAAAAAAAAAAAAAACTATTTTAAACACAGATGCTTTTGTTTTAAAAAACAAAACCATACTACCTAGAATTTTTAACAAACTTCTTACCATGCTTTGAAGAATTTTCAGTGCTTCTTCTTTACCCTCAAGCTGTCTTTGAGATGCCTCAAGTTCAGTTTTTAGAATTTCTACCTCCTAAGGAGAGAAGTAAGATTAGTTTACCTATCTGCAAGATATGCAACTCCAAATTTGGATAGTTAACATGTATGCTCAGTGTGTACTCTGACTCTAAGCACTTTGACCTTCTAGAAGAGGTTTGAAATTCCTTCAGGCTTCATAAGTGGCCTAGGCAGGCTTTAGACTGAGACTCTGACTATCCAGTTGTAACTAAAAGTCCAAGTCTTTACTTTTTAGACCACAAAGCTAATAATCTGAAAAAAATCTTTAAAGCACATAAAATAGGCACATGATCATCCACAGAGCTACAGTAGCTATTATCACTTGAACTGTGTACTCCCCACCAAGTAAAGAGATGTCCAAATCCTAACTCCCGGTACTATGAATGTGACCTTATTTAGAGATAGGGTCTTTGCAGATATAATCAGGTTAAGATGAGGTCATACTGGATTAGGCAGGCCTCAATCCAATGACCACTATCCTAAGACGAGGGAAATTTGGGCACAGACACAAAGGGGGAAGGCTACGTGACCATAGAGGCAGTGACTGGAGAAGCAGCTGTAAGCCGAGGAATGCCAAGATGGTCAGGGGCAACCTCCAGAAGCTAGGAAGAGGCAAAGAATTCTCCTCTAGACCTTCCAGAGGGAACATGGCCAGCTGACACCTTGATTTCAGATAGCTAGCCTCAGAAGTGAGAATAAATCTGTTATTTTAGCCACCTATTTATGGTCTTTGTGACAGTAGCCCTAGAAAACAAAACACATATGGTAGCTTTCACCAGAAGAGTCACACACACACACACACACACACACACACACACACACACACATATTAAGATGGGCTTCCTGCTTCCCAAAAGACAGGCGCCCCACAGAAATTCTTACTCCCAGAGGGGCCTCAGAATGCCTAGAATACTTGCTGGTCTTCTGACTTCAAAGAGGTTAAGTAGTCCCCTTATTTCAAGCCTCATACACAGGGAAAACAGAAGGAAGGAAGTTTATAACTGTTCTCTCCAGGACAAAAGAAAGGTGGACTGGAGGGCATGTTTACGTAAATAGCTTTCTTGAGAGATGAGGGGGATAAGAAACAGAGGAGGCCAGTTGAAAGTTATGAACTTTACACTGTGATTCTCTGGAAAGCCAACATTGACTTCCATACAATTTTAGTATTACTTAAAATATCCATCAGTGGGCTTTATTCACATAAGAATTTTTATAGAAACCAGAGGACTTACCTCTAAAGTATCATGAAGACGTTGCTTTAATTCCACATTTGACAATTCTGAATTAGAATCTGTATTAAGGGGAAAAAAAACTACTTCAATACATTCTTTAACTAGTTGAATATAGGACATCTGTTTATAAACTATCAAATACATGGGGTGCCTGGGTGGCTCAGTTGGTTAAGCACTGACTTCGGCTCAGGCATGATCTCACAGTGCATGGGTGCGAGCTCCACATCAGGCCCTGTGCTGACAGCTTGGAGCCTGGAGCCTGTTTCAGATTCTGTGTCTCCCTCTCTCTCTGCCCCTCCCCACTTGCGCTGTCTCTGTCTCTCAAAAATAAATAAACATTAAAAAATAAATAAAATAAAATCTCAAATACAGTTTTGTGTCAAGAGGAAAGAATTGTAACAAACCAAATAATGATAAAAATAGGCAGCTTAAAACATTTCACAAATGAAAAGACACTTTTGAATAAAAAGACTTTTAAAAAAGGACTCTATTAAACTGTTTTTAACAAACTGGTTAATTAATTACTACATGCAACACAGGACTTAAAAACGTAAATGCTGGTGAGTGAAATAAATTTTGGTGTTTGGCTTAACTTTGATCGATATAGTGATAAGAATATCTAAGAAATAACCTGAAATTAATTTTCTTTCCAAGGAGAATGACTAGAAGTCTCCTGTAACTTCAGTCATTCTCCCCTTAATGTAATCAACTGAGACATTAAACTGAGCTTCCTAGGAGCTTCATGTTCAGTGTGGTCTCATTGGCAAAAGAAAAACATTAAAATGGTAAATTGCAAGCAAGAAGATTAAGAAGAAGCAAAAGGAAGAAAAGTTGTTTAGAAACAGTATTTTGAGGGGCATTAAAAACTTCTCAAAACAGCTTTTTTTCCTTTGTTGTTCTGAACTTTCAATATGACAGTTTCCAAGGCAAAACGCAAATCATGGTTTTACTCTGATGACTGGGGCTCCAAGGAGGGACAAGTGACACAGGTTTGGCAGTGACATGCTGTGTTGTAGTAATCCGTGTGGTAGGCAGAGCAAGGGCCCTAAAGATGACCATATCTTAATCCCCAGAACCTGGGAAGACATGGCAAAAGGGACTTCTGGTGTAATTAAATTAAGGACTAGGAGATTATCCCAGATTATCCAGGTGACCCCACTGTACTCACAAGGGTCCTTATAAGTCAAAGAGGGAGGCAGGAGAGTCAGCGTCAGGGTGAAGCAGTATGAGAAAGACTTGAACAGCCATTGCTGGCTTTGAAGATGGAGGAAGGTGGCCATGGGCCAACGAATGCAAGTGAGCTCTAGAAACTGGAAAGGCACAGGAATGGATTCTCCCCTAGAGTCTCCAGAAGGAACGCAGCCTTGCCAACATCTTGGTTTGAGCCCAGTAAAACCCATTTTGAACTTCTGACCTATAGAACTAAGATAATAAATTTGTGTTACTTTAAGGCATTAAATTTGTGGTAACTTGGAAATGACCTATTAGCAATAAGAAACCAATACAATATCCTTATTCCATAACCCAACAACACAGGAGCTCATACTTTTACATCTTTATATCCTAGTGGCTTCCTCATATTTTTATAAAGGTATTTTAGCATCATGTGCAGTTTTCAACATCTTCCTTGCAAAGCAGAACCCATCTTCTATGTGTGACAAGGACTTGAAAGAAAAATATATAAATAATCCCATCCTAATTTCAAGAAGGATTTTGAAAAGATGCCAATAAAATTCCCATCTGCAACATGCTTTTGGCAAATCTAAAACCATATTTCTTACATTATTTTCATGTTCTAATTTGTGTTTGTTCCACTCGGGTGGGGGATATTTTACAACATGGATTACAAAGGATTCAGCCAGAAAAGAGCTGTGCCGTGTGGGCATGGAGACACTCCTGGGCTCCTCCCAACCATTTTGGGGTTGTAACATTCTATCATAATGTGATTCTGAGTTTTATTCTTTCCTTAATAATATAGCATACTTTATTTTTGGTTATGATAAATTATGATTAATTTTTTGAGGAGCACCTGGCTGGCTCAGTCAATGGAGCTTGCAACTCTTGATCTTGGGGTTGTGAGTTCGAGCCCCACATTGGGTGTAAAGGTTACTTTTAAAAGAGATTAATTTTTTAGGGGGAGGATTTCATGACATTCCTTAAATAACCAGCAGCATACATGTTCTGCCTGGAACACTCCTTCCCCAGATAAGTACCTTAGGCATCAGTTCATTAGGGTGTTCAAAAGCCACCTCCTTAGAGAGGTACCCCTGACCCTTGCCTGAAATAGCATGCTCCGACCCTCTAAATATTCAGTGTCCCTACACTTATTACTGGTAGATTTATTTTTTCTCTCCTCTACTAGAATGTGGACTCTGACACGGAGACTATTTTGTTCACTGATGCTGTTCCTAGAGCCTAGAACTGCCTCAGGCAGATAACAGGTACCAAATAAATAAGTGAATAAGAAAAAAAAAATGATGAAGCATAGCACTAAATCACACACCCACAAAAGCAAGGTAGGTAATCATTGATATCACTAACATATCTGTATTAATGCAGAATAACTACCATAGTTCACAATTTGTACCAAATTGGAAATAAAAACATGAGTTACATTTGTGCTATCACCAATCCCAAGAGGTGAATAAAGATGATGAATTCCCAAAATCCACTACAGTGACCTACTGTCTTACGTTGCAAGGGTGAAGGCACTGATGAAATCCACAAGGGAGGAGGAGGGAGAGGGCCAGAGGCATTCTTACCAGTGCTACTTTGTCGTCTGTAGTGGTAAGTGCTGAACTCTTCTGAGTGTGCATCTTGGGAGCTCTTATTCCTGGAATATTGAAAAATGGCACCACTTCTTTCTTCTCTTGCTCCCGGAAATGGGGGAGGGCTAAAGTTCTTTCCATCGGATCTTTTTCTAGATGTAGACAGATGTGAAACTTGCACTTCATAAATACCACCGGGCCTTCTCCCGAGCCCATACCCTAAGTCGCCTTCTGCCATGTCATCGTCCTCAGTTTCCCAGGTCTGCACCTCTGCCTCACTCGGCAGCCTCGCCAACCTGCTCATCAATCAGCCAGATGACGTATTTAACATAAGGAAAAACAGGGTATCTGTAGTTAAGAAAACAGTTTAAAAACCATCAGTATAATAAAGTTGGGGTTTCGGTGGAGAGAAAAGTTTCTTTCTCTGTTATACAGGGACAACTATCCCAGCAGTGCATCAGCACACGAACATCCCTTGCAACCCAGTTCAAGTTATTTAACATTTAAGGACTTTTTAGGTAGGAAATGATCAACCTCTGATTCCAAAGACTGCAGTGAATTGTAAGGAAGCAGGAAAACCTTTTATTGAATCCAGTAATCTACCGATCAGGATAAAGCAAATCAGCCTTTACCGAGGAAAGAGAAGAGGTTTAGTTTTCACCAGCCTAGGAGCTATGTAAAATTCAGGGAGTGTCTGCAAAATGGGACTTGCAAGGAGTATGTAGAGGACCCTGCCTGCCCCTGTCCCTTCATGGCCCTGAGTGCACTTCAGGTGCTCATGGCTCTTACAGCCTCTCCTGTAGCTCTGCGTGCTGCACAAACATCTTCTGTTCCTCTGCAGACACAGCAGGGTCTTTGTACCTGAGACAACGATAAGTGGGAAAGAAGGAGGTACCCTCTCTTTAACAGATGGTGTGTTCAAAGCCCTCCACTGTTGAAGCATAAAAGCCAAAGCCCTTTCGGTGGCTCACCTCCCTCGCATGGCCCTCCTTCGCATGCCCCTCATCCGCTCGCCCGCCTTGTAGGCTGGCCACCCTGGCTTTCCCAGCGTTCCTGGTGCAGAGCTAGGGCTCCCTCTGGTTGCAGTGCTCTTCCCCCAGACAGTTGCTCAACTGGTTCCTCACCTCCTTTGGGTCTTTCCTTCAGTGACAGCTCAGTGACTGACACCAGATCTAAAGTTACAAACTCCTCCTCTTCCCGATTCCCTGATTTATTCCCCACCCCCACCCCCACCCCAGCACCTAGGGCCTTCTAACATACCCCTCCATATTTTACTCATTTTTCAAGTCGTGCCACGGAAAGGCAGGAGGTAGTACTAAAGTGGGAGCCTGGCAAAGCCAAAGGTGGTTTTGCCCTGCCTACGAGGCCTCTCAAAAGGCAAGGCGACCTGCAGCTTTTCCTCTGCCAGGGCCCAAACCTGCTCTAGATGCTCTAGAAGTAGAAAGTAAGCTCTGAAAGAGTAGAAGGTTTTGTCTTTTGGGATCATCACTGCATTCCCAATGACTAACACAGTCTCTGAGACATAATCGGTGCTCAATAAATACTTTTTAAATAAGTGAAATGAAAAAATAAACAAATTCCCTGCCTGTAGGGCTGAAAAACTGTCACCTCAGCATGACTCCACCGTGAATACTGTGGGGCTAACTGCCTGCCCTCTTCCCATAAGAAAACATTCCAGATGAAAATGCCTTCCAAAGTACATCACTGAGCCCTCCCTGCATGGAGACCATGGACCGCTGAAGGCACCTACCTGTTGGCCGGAGAGTGCCTTAAGTGCTCAGCCCTCTTCCTCTTGTACACAGTAGTACAGGAAGGACTTTCACCACCAGGCATTTCAAAACAGCTGTTTTGCTGTAGTTGTTAAGAAACATCTCCTCCTTTTCTCAAGACTCATTTTTTTACTGTTTACTTTTTTTCATGTTTATTTTTGAGTGAGAGACAGAGGGAGACACAGAATCTGAAGCAGGCTCCAGGCTCTAAGCTGTCACCACAGAGCCCTGACCCAGGGCTTGAATTCAGAACAGTGAGCTCATGCTCTGAGGTGAAGTCAGACACTTAACTGACTCAGCCACCCAGGTTCCCCAAGACTCATTAAAAAAATAACAACAACAACCTGATATCTCTTCTAAATATATCCTGCAACTTAATAATTGCTTACCAGGACTTTAAAAAACAATTAAATCTTAGTCTTGCATTTCTTAGTGAGTTGTTTCTCTTACTCTTCCACTTTTAAAACCACACAAATGGGGCACCTGGGTGGCTCAGTTGGTTAAGCATCCAACTCTTGACTTGGGATCACAGTTTGTGAGATCGAGCCCTGCATCAGTCTCTGTGCAGACGGTGTGGAGCCTGCTTGGGATTCTTTCTTCCTCTCTCTCTGCCCCTCCCGTGTACTCTCATGAGCTCTCTCTCTCAAAATAAATAAATAAATAAACTTAATGCCCTCACCCCCGCCCCCAAACACACACACAGATGCCAGATAAATCTGATCATGTTTGAAGGGGTTTAGTTGTGTTTAGGGTTAAAGTATCATCTACTTTCAATATTTAAAAGCAAAAACCCTTAAAGATTTGAAGAGATAACATCATAAAAGAAGGTACATGGATAGAAAGACATTCATAACATCATTAGTTGTCAGGGTACTGTAGATTTAAACTAAAATGACATTTTGTTACATACCACTGTCAATTGTAAGTGTTGCCACAGATATAGTCATACATAGTTGGCAGGAGTATAAAATGGTACAGCCACTGTGGAGAAGTCTGGTAGTTTCTTTTAAACAGGCAATCCAGCAATTGCATTTTTGGTATCTACCCGAGGGAAATGAAAACGTTATGTTCACACAGAGATGTGTGCATGGCTGTTCACAGCATTACTCAAATTGGCCCCAAACTGGAAACACAAATGTCCAGCAAAAGAAAAACAAACTGTGTTAAGTCCATACTACATAATATATTCAGCAATGATGAATTTCTAATACACGCAACGACATGGATGAGTCTCAGAGACATTATGTAACACTGGAACCCCATACTCTAGTGAAATCCTGGCAACTGATCAGTGGTTGCCTAGGGAGAAAGGCTGACAGCAGAGAGCATGAAAGAGCTTTTGTGAGGTGGTAGAAAAGTCTTGCATCTAGAGTGATGGTTTGTCAAAACTCCGCATCCTAACAATGGTGCATCTTATATGTAAATTATGCCTCCATAATATGTTTCAAGAATTTTAAACACAAAAAATAAGGGGTCTTTACTGCATTAGGGGATGAGATGAGAAATGTGTTGATCAGTTGTACCCTCCCAGATAAGCAAATTATTAAACTAGATGCTTTAAATCAGCAAAAATTTCTTTTTCAGTGATATAATAATAGCACTTGGTGCTTATTTTCTGTGTGCTAGGCACTATTTTAGTGTTTTACTTAGATTATTCCATTTAATCTTCACTTTTCAAGACAATCCTGTTACTGTTTAAGTATAGACACTTAAACTCAAGCACAGAGAGAGGTTAAGTAACATAGCTAACGAGAGAATGAACCAGGTTCTGAATCCTGACCCGTAATGTCAGACACTGTGACTTGCTTAGCTACTGCTTTCTGTCATTTGAAGAATTTGAATGAGCTTAACATCAGAATAAGCCACATTTCTATCATTTATGACATCTAACAGTACTGAAAGTAAAAGTGTTTTTTCCCCAAATTTTTACAAAATCATCTTGGTTCCTTTACAAGTTTATTTCCTAAATAAGTAAGTTTGTCTATTTTTATTCATCAAGATAGACAGGAAATTATTTGCTGAATCAGAGAATAATCCCTAAGAAGCTGTGTTTTACCTCTAGTGCAAATTCCTGCTTATAAATGCACTCTCACGCCTATGTTAAGAGGATATGCTCAGGGCTGGGCAGCCAGCAGTGGAGAAAATGGAATTGGTCAACACAAAGGAAAAAAGTAGTAAGAGGAAAGAGTAAGCAATCGCAGGATTAGTTAAGAATATATATCATTTTCTGGAAAGGTCTTCTGAGCTTTATTGTACATCAATGGCCCATCCTGGAGTCTGCATCTTAGCGTGCCTGGGGATGGTGGCCCTGGGGCCAGCCCTGCCCCAATCCCAAATGCCCCAGCCCTGTCCAGCTCCCAACTCAGTGCTGGGTTAGTGTGCTTTGGGAGTGGAGAGAGCTGAGGATGACCAGAATTCTTGTCCACAAAGTCCAGGTGGGGCTCGGTCCTGGGACCCCGGGCTCCTAGGAGGTGGGACAGGGTGGGCTCTTGGGACAGGAGAGCTCCCCAGTCCTCTGGAGCCGAGAGCCTGGCCTAGCCCCAGGGACCCAGCCTGCTGAGGAAGGCCTGGCCTGGCAGATTCCACAGGCTGTGTGTTGGGGTGGCTGTGGATCAGGGCATGGCACTCGCTCCAGCTCATCCTCCTGTGCAGGCCCATCTCATCTGCTTGCCTGGGGTCACAGCCCCCATGGTTGTCTCTACCCAGCAGTATGTACTGCAGGTATCACCTGGGCCTAGGGGAGCAGCAGGCTCTGGTGGCTGGGCTGCGTGGCTAAGAATATTTTTTAATGTGCCACATAAATTCAGGTATCATGGTTTGGTCTTTCCAGCTGTTCACAGTTAACATAATGAGCTTTTCCATGATTCGACACTCTACTGTTTTAAAAATGTAACTTTTGGAACTGCTGGCTTTATACTCCCCCCCTTTTTATATACCTAACGTTAATAAATTAAACTTTAAGAACACATTTCTTCTAAGAAAGGGAAATGTTTGAAATTACTAACATTCCACTCAGCCAGTTCTAAATATATTCAATGTTGACAAGCAGGGAGACCCAGCAGGATGTGTGACAGAGAAGGCCCTGACTCCGGAGGTCTGAGTTCAAATTTCACTCCACCGTGTGCTGCTCTGTAATCTTGGGCACTTCATTTAACTTCTCGGAGCATGTTTCCCAATCTCCAAAATGAGTTTAAGCATTACTACTTTATAGGCTTATTTTGGGAACCATCAATGTATTTCTTTTTTTAAAATTTTAATGTTTATTTTTGAGAGAGACAAGAGTGCGAGTGGGGGAGGGGCAGAGAGGGAGAGAGACACAGAATCCCAAGTAGGCTCCAGGCTCTGAGCTGTCAGCACAGAGCCCGATGTGGGGCTCCAACCCATGAACCCCAAGCAATGACCTGAGCCGAAGTAGGATGCTCAACCGACTGAGCCACCTAGGCGCCCCAATGTGATATATTTCAAATCAAAGTTTACTAAATGAGAGTTTGGGAGTATCAGTTTTGTTGACATGGGAGGGCTGGATAAGATGTTTGGGTTCTTTAGGACTCTAAAATTCTGGTTTTAGATCAGCTTTACCAACATGTGCCACATGGAACACTAGTTCTTTGGACTATTCAGGGTTGCTAGGAATAAAGGGTCCTTCCAGTTTTATTTTTCTGTGCTAGTACAAGCTCTCCACGATTGGCCCCAAATTACACAGGTAGTGACAGCACCAGAACTAGAAGCCATATCTCTAGCTCCTGGCCCGCTGTTGGGAAAGGCCACAGGATGAACCAACTGCAGCCAGTGAGCAATCTTCCTACTTCTGCACTAAAACAACTCTCTGAAAAGGGACCACTGACTTCCTAGTTGCTAAATCCAAGACCTAGACTTCCTCTTTGGCCACCTCTACCTGTGCAGAAGCTGTGACACTACTGCTCTGCCATGCCCAGGCCCCTGGCTGACTTTAGCCCCTCAAACCTCACAGGAATGATGAACTGCCCCATGTCTGCCTGCTCAGGCTCCTTTTCCTCTTTCTGTCCTGCTGTGTTTGGTTTCCACTATTAAACACACTTACATACACATTTCCAGCGGGATATCCTGCCAGCAATTCAAACACAGCCGTTCAAAACCAAATTCACTGCCTCCCCACTCCCACCCCAGATCTCATCTTGAATCCTCTATTTCTGCAAATGTATCAACGATGCTCAAAAACACCCAGGTCCAAAACTTTGGGATTTCTCTTTTCCTTGATCCCTTCAGATGCCAAGATGTCTAGGCCCACAAAAATCTCCCCAGACCATATCCTTCTTCGGATATTAACTTCACAACCCTGGCTGAATTTCTTATTACCTCTCCCGGGAGAAACCAATAGTTCCCAAGCCATCCTATACAGTGCTGCTCCAAGCACAGATCCAATGATGCCCCTCTCTTGCCCTAAAACATTCCATGGCTCCCATGGCATATATAATTAAAGTGTCCCCCTATTATCTACAATGAGACTCGTTTTTACTTCACTTGTCAGCTGTCACTGCTTCCTAGACATGCTCTGTGGTTCCATTAAGAACTGCACTGAGACACCTGGGTGGCTCAGTCAGTTAAGCGTCCAACTTCGGCTTGGGCCATGATCTTGTGGTTTGTGGGTTCGGGACTACTGTTGGGCTCTGACCTGTCAGCAGACACTACTTCAGATTCTGTGTCTCCTTCTCTCTCTGCTCCTTCCCAGCTTGCACTCTCTCAAAAATAAATACATATTTAAAAAAGAGAAAGAAAGAAAAGTGCCCAGGCCTGTGCCCAGGCCTCCTCAGGGCAATCAGTCACCCTCAAGCCTCTGCTGGTGCTCATCTCCATCTCAAGTCCCCCACAGCTCATGACAGCCACTCCTCCCAGGAGCCCTCCTGACACCCCTGAGCCAGACGTGATTTCTCCTACCTCTCAGCCTTCCTAGCTCTGTATTGTACCTTTTAATTTTTTTAAGTTTTTATTTATTTAAGTAATCTCTACACCCAACATGGGGCTTGAACTCGTGACCGCTCTTGCAAACGACACAGCCAGGTACCCCTGTATCTTTTTAATAGTCCTTTTTCCTGACATGTCTATTGCACACGCCCCTACAGTAGCAAGGTGTATCCTTACCTCACTGACCTGTCCAAAGACCTGTGACAGACCGAAATGAAGAAACAGACTCCTGCCCAGAAAACTTGGACTAGAAACAGCCACACCCACTAGCCTGACAATACTTGCCCTAGCAAACACGATGATCAAACAGACACCTAATTCCTGTCGGGCTTGGCAAAGAGGAACTAACTTGAGCCCTCCCTGGTGAACAATGGTCTGCTATACAACTGCTGTAGCATTTTGTTTTTTAACCTTTTATGAAAATAATTTTAGACTTACAGTGAGTTGCAAAGATAGTGCAGAGAGTTCCTGTATACCCTTTGCTCACACTCCTCTAATGTTAATATTAGAGTCCATGTATCAAAATTAAGAAGTTAATATTTATATATGCAATTAACTAAACCACACACTCTATTGGGATTTCCCAGTAATTTCTACCGATATCCTTTTTCTGTTGCAGGACATGTAGTTTTAAGGCTCAATACTAATAGGAAAAATAATAATAATCATAAAGGAGAAGAAGGAAAAGGTAGAAACAGAATCTTTCAAATCTATCCCTTATTTTTTTTTTTTTTTTTTTTAACGTGAGACGAGACCATTATAAACTAGCGTTTAGGGTAAAGTAACAGCCAGTGTGCCAGCGTGTCCGCAACCTGCCGGGTTTGCACGAATCGGAGTAGCCCAGGGCCGGGGTCCTTCCCACCCGCCGTTCCCACCAGCCAGGCCTGGCCACGCACCCCCGCAGCGCCCGGCGCGAGGATCGGACGCGAGACTCCCGCCGGGCGCCCAGGACCCCAGCTGCCCTCGCACCCCACCCGGCGCGCTCACCTAGCGCCGAGCCTGCCAGCCGCGCGCGTCGCCGGCCTCCAGCCACGTGACCGCGCGCGCCGCCGGGACCGGAAGGAGGGGCGAGGCCGCCCGGGCCGGCGCCGCCTAGTCGCCTCCGCCGCCCGCGCGAGCTCGGCGGTTGGAGCCGGAGACGTTAGCTGCGTCCGGCTGCAGAGCCCGAGGTTTGACGCCTACGAGCCGCCGAATTAGAAATGGTGGCGCGGAGACAGAAAAACAGAACAAGACCGCGGGTGCGTCAGTAAAGGTGAAAATGAGATGGTGCATACATGAAGTGTGTCGGGGGACAGGGGACGAGGGATCTGAGCTGAACCAGTTCAGCGGCTCAGGTGGACCGGGAAAGTAGGCTTTCCGTTCTAAGGACCGAGGAGGGCGTTACCGGCGACAGGAACTGCTGGGGTAAAGGCGTGGCAGTGGGAAGGCACAGGAGGGGGCGGAGAGAGCTGCCCCTGGGAACCGATTCCGTGGATTTCCAGAATGGGGCCCCGCCCTCCGCCACCACCCCCCCCCCCAGTCCCGCCCCCATAACGTGTAGAGTCAATAGCGATGAGGGAGCGTGTGGCAAGCTGAGGGCAAAGTACAGGCTCCCCGCGCGCACACCGCCACTCCAAGGTGGGATAAAAGTGCTCTTCCTCAGATGCTCACTGGCTACCCGAGACCAAAGGAAAAGAAAGAAAAACAAATGGTTGAGTGATAGAGATCAGAGTCATGCAGCACAAGAGTCTCCTTGGTTTACAGATAACAGTACACTGCAAGAAAAAGACAATCTTCTCCATAGTCTTATCTCCAGAAACCTATAGATGCCGTTCCTGGGGCCTTCATATCACCCTCATCAAGATGAAAGGGGGTTTAAATGCTTACCATGGTGATGTGGGAAATGAAAAATTAAATTCCCCTGTTGCCTACAGCCCACTGACAAGTCCTTGAAAGAGGCAGAGGGAGCTTCCTCTGGGAGCTCAGCTGCCTCAATGATTACACTTTGCTAGGGCAAAAGGGTATCTTGGCTTAACATCATCCTGCTCCCTGCCCCCAGGATCCTGTGAGTCTCCTTAAACACATAAAAATTCCTTTGCAAACCTCTTTTATCTTTAATCTCCAAGTATATGTTGGCAATTAGACTTGAAGCACATGGCCCCTGATACACATCTGAAGGGTCTCATGTCTGAGGTTTTACTAAACAGTAATAAATGATGTCTTCCTAATAACAGCTAGCCCCTCAATGTCCTGGAAACCTTGCTTCCAAAACACTGTCCCTAACACCCTCCCAACCTGAAGGTATATAATCAGTCACTCTTCACAACCCCACTGCAACTTTCTGCCCATGGGTCCTGTCCCTGTGCTTTGATAAAATCACCGTTTTTGCACCAAAGACTTCTTCAAGGATTCTTTCTTGGCTGGCAGCTCTGAACCCCACCATTACTTCAAAGCCCATCAAGTAGCTTTTTTTTGAATCATTACCTGGGTGAAATGATTTTGATGGTATTTCCTAATATAAACATCGTTGAAATAACAGAAGGGACTTCATAGAGGTCCAGAAACTTGGCTGGATTTAAAGATTGGGTGAGAAACGAATGAATGAATGCTTCTTCTTCTTAGTAGATTTCTTTTATTCTTCTCCAGATCCAGCCCTTATTTCCCTTAAACACCCCCTTCCCCCAAGTAAACATACCCTACATATATGAAAAACCGCACTTAGAACAAGATCAGTTATAGAAGAAGATCAATGCTCTTTGCATATTAGATGCTTAGGGATTTAAGATTATCTTAAGATATTAATATATTTATAATTTTAAAGTCATTTTGCCTATTCTAGCATATTCAATAGCTTTCCAAACCAAAAATAGTTTTTCTTCACTTAAAACTTTGACCTGATTAAAATAGCCTTGTTTACCCTAAAAATATCTCAGAACTTTTCCACTGAAAATACTTTAGCTGTCTTTTCTCTGTCAGACTTCTCCAGAAAGCAGAGCTTTGAATGCATACATATTAAATTTTTATTTAAAAAATTCATGAGTTTAAAGTTGGTTTTCATCACCGTTTATGTGCAGTGCTTATAATATGCTCTGAATGTCCTTAAAAACTTCTGTTTACCAATTTGAGTACATTTCATTTTTTTAAAGTTTATTTTGAGAGAGCACACATGCACAAGCAGGAGCAGGGGAGGGGCAGAGAGAGAAGAGAGAATCCCGAGCAGGTGCTGTCAGCCCAGAGCCCACCAGGGGACTCAAACTCAATCTCACGAACTGATTTTATTTTGTTTTCTTTGTTTTTTTACATTTACATTTATTTATTTATTTATTTATTTATTTATTTATTTATTTTGAAAGAGAGCATGAGTGGGGGAGGGACAGAGAGAAAGGGAAACACAGAATCTGAAGCAGGCTGCAGGCTCTGAGCTGTCAGCCCAGAGCCCCATGCCAGGCTTGAACTCACGGACCATTGACCAAGAGATCATGACCTGAGCTGAAGTCAGAGGCTTAACCGATTGAGGCACCCAGGTGCCTCTCATGTGTATTTTAGATACAAGTCTGTTTCATATGTGTGTTTACATTTCTCGTCATCTGTGTCTTCTGCCTTTCTTGTCTTTTTTTTTTTTTTTTTTTTAAAGTAGGCTTCATGCAAAACCTGGGGCTAGAACTCATGTCCCTGAGATCAAGAGTTGCATGCTCTCCTGACCGAGCCAGTCAGGCACCCACCTCATATTCAGTGTGTCTTTTGAGAGGAAGAGTTTTAAATTTTGAAGTCAAATTTATCGATTTTTTTTCCTTTGGTTTGTGTTTTTTGTGTTCTATCAGAGAACTTTGCCTAACCAAAGAGCACTAAAATTTCTTACTATGTTTTCATCCAGAAGTTTTATATATTTTAGGTTTTACACATAGGTCTCAGAGACAATTTGATTTAATATGGTCTGTGGTTAAGTTTGAGGTTCATTTTTTAAAAATTTTATTTTTAAGTAATCTCTACTTCCAACGTGGGGACTTGAACTTACAACCCCAAAATCAAGAGTCTTAATGCTCTACAAACTGAGCCAGCCAGGTGCCCTAAGTTTCGCTTTTTGATATGCATATCTATTATTTGTCGAAAAATTAGTTTCCCCATTGATTTGCCTTTTGTACCTCCATCAGAAATTGACTATAGAGGCATGGGTTTCTTTCTGGACTCTGTTCTCTTCCACTGATCTATAAAGAATATATATATTATTCTTTATACATTCATCCATCAATGGACATTTGGGCTCTTTCCCTACTTTGGCTATTGTTGGTAGTGCTGCTATACACATTTGGTGCATGCGTCCCTTTGAAACAGCACACCTGTACTTCTTGGATAAATACCTAGTAGTGCAATTGCTGGGTTATAGGGTAGTTCTATTTTTAATTTTTTGAGGAACCGCCACACTGTTTTCCAGAGTGGCTGCACCAGTTTGCATCCCCACCAGCAGTGCACAGGAGATCCTCTTTCTCCACATCCTCACCAGCATCTGTTGTTGCCTGAGTTGTTAATGTTAGCCGTTCTGACTGGTGTGAGGTGGTATCTCAGTGTGGTTTTGATTTGTATTGCCCTGATGATGAGTGATGCTGAGCATTGTTTTATGTGTCGGTTGGCCATCTGGATGTCTTCTTTGGAGAGGTGTTTATTCATGTCTTTTGCCCTTTTCTTCACTGGCTTATTTGTTTTTTGGATGTTGAGTTTGATAAGTTCTTTACAGATTTTGGATACTAACCCTTTATCTGATATGTCATTTGCAAATCTCCCATTCCATCCTTTGCCTTTTAGTTTTGCTGATTGTTTCCTTCACTGTGCAGAAGTTTTTATTTTGCTGAGGTCCCAATAGTTCATTTTGGCTTGCCTCTGGAGACGTGTTGAGTAAGAAGTTGCAGCGGCCAAGATCACAGAGGTATTTGCCTGCTTTCTCTTTGAGGATTTTGATGGCTTCCTGTTTTACATTTAGGTCCTTTCATCCATTTTGAATTTATTTTTGTGTATGGTGTAAGAAGGCGACCCAGGTTCATTTTTCTGCATGTCACTGTCCAGTTTTTCCCAGCACCACTTGCTGAAGAGACTGTCTTTATTCTATTGGATATTCGTTCCTGCTTTGTCAAAAATTAGTTGGCCATACGTTTGTGGGTCCGTTTCTGGGTTCTGTATTCTGTTCCACTGATCTGAGTGTCTGTTTTTGTGCCAGTACCATACTGTCTTGATGATTACAGCTTTGTAATACAGCTTGAAGTCCAACCTCCTGCATTGGTTTTCTTTTTCAAGATTGCTTTGGCTATTTGTGGTCTTTTTTGGTTCCAGACAAATTTTAGGATTGTTTGTTCTAGCTCTGTGAAGAATGTCGGTATTATTTTGATAGGTATTGCATTGAATATGTAGATTGCTTTGGGTAGTATTGACATTTTAACAATATTTATTCTTCCTATCCAGGAGCATGGAATATTTTTCCTTTTTTTGTGTTTGTGTCTTCTTCAATTTCTTTCATAAGTTCTCTATAGTTTTCAGTGTATATATTTTTCACTTCTTTGGTTAGATTTAGTCCTACGTATTTTATGGGTTTTGGTGCAATTGTAAATGGGATCAATCCCTTGATTTCTCTTTCTGTTGCTTCATTGTTGGTGTATAGGAATGGAACTGACATGCATTGATTTTATATCCTGCAACTTTGCTAAATTCATTAATCAGTTCTAGCAGTTTCTTGGTGGAATCTTTTGGGTTTTCCATATAGAATATCATGTCATCTGTAAAGAGTGAAAGTTTGACCTCCTCCTGGCAAATATGGATGCCTTTTATTTCTTTGTGTTGTCTGATTGCTGAGGCACAATTCTTTTTTTAATATGGAACACTTCATGAATTTGCATGCTTCTTTGTTCAGAGGCCATGCTAAAGTGCACTGTATCATTCCAATTATAATGTATGTGCTGAAGTGAGCTTTAGCAACTTTTATTTTAGAAGAGTATGCTGGGATTTTGATTGGTCCTGAATAGATCAATTTGGGGAAAATTGTCCGGTTAATAATATTGAATCTCCGATTTCATGAACATGGTTTATACAACTATTTGGATCTTTGATTTCTTTCATTTGAGATTTTAGCATGCAGATCTTACAAATATTTTGTTAGATTTAACATAAGTCAGTCAAGTTTTTGGTACTATTGTAAATGGTATTGTTTTAATTTTAATTTCAAGTTGTCACTGCTATATGGAAATGCAGTAGATTTTTGTGTATTGGTCTTATATCTTGTGACTTTGTTAAAGTCACTTATTAGTTCAACTAGCTTTTGTATGGATTCTCTTGGAATTTCTACATAAAAAATCACGTTAACTGAGAATACCTTATTTTTTCCTTATAGCTCTGTATATTTTTTATTTATTTTCTTGCTTAATGCACTGGTGAGGTCCCCCAGGGTGACCAAATGACCGACTGGCTTTTTACCCGCTACCCTTGTTTAACAAACTAGATTTTTTTGAATCCTCCCTTCCATAAAAATAAACTCCTTAGACAACAAACTTCTGAATGGACTTCAGGGGCCTCTGAGTCTTTGAAAAACATAAACAATATTTTATATTAATATGTAATTCTGTATTATTTGGAGGAGATGGGTTCATAGCTTATATCAGACTGTCAAAGGGATTTATGTCATCAAAAGTGATAAGGAACTAAATTTTAAATAAAAGCTTATTTATATACATAAATAGGTTTATATAAATAATTTTCATGATGTTGTTTTTCACTCCTAAGAACTGGGGTGCCTGCTAATAGGATGGGACTTCTAAGTGGGGTAATGGAAATGTTACATATGAAATTAGATAATGATGGTTGCACAATCTTGTGAGTATAATAAAAGCCAGCTAATTGTGCACTTTTTTTTAAAGTTATTTTTTGAGAGAGATTGCAAGTGAGCAGGGGAGGGGCAAAGAGAGAAGGAGAGAAAGAATCCCAAGTGTGGAACCTGATGTGGGGCTCGAACCCACAAACTGCGAGATCATGACCTGAGCCAAAACCAAGAGTTGGACACTTAACTGACTGAGCCAGGTGCTCAATTATGCACTTTTAAATGACAAATTTTGGGGCACCTGGGTGGCTCAGTTGGTTAAGCCTCCAACCCTTGATTTTGGCTCTAGGGGATCTAGGGTGGCTAAAGAATAAGGAGTGGCCTGGAAAGGAAACCTACCTTTCTAGTATACCCTTTTGTGCCTTTTGGTTTTTACAGAGTATAAAAACCAAAAACCACTTCTGTGTGTGTGTGTATGTGTATTTGAGACAGAGAGGGGGCAGTGTGTGAGCAGGTGAGAGGGGCAGAGGGAGAGAGAGTATCTTAAGAAGGCTACATGCTCAGCATGGAGCCCTACATGGGGCTCAATCCTATGACCCTGGAATCATGACCTGAGCTGAAATCAAGAGTCAGATGCTCAACTGACTGAGCCATCCAGGCACCCCTGTGTGTTTGTTTTTTTAAGCAAAGAAATAAAAACGAAAAACTCTAATGTTTTATCTTCAGTCTTAAGTTTTATTTTAAGGGATCACTTTTATTTTATTCTGTAATGAACTTAAAAGATAGCCACCCAATGTAGTCTGATTTATTTATTCTTTAGCAGATGAAGCATTTAAAATGACAGTTTTTAGTCTCAGTCCTTAATGATATTACATACACTATACTTGAGAATGTTTTGCTTTTTTGTGGAGGAAAAAAAGCCCACACATAAGCCTTTAGGCTATCCATCTACTCGTCTTGCCACTCAATTTTAATAAAAAAAGTTTTACCGATAATTGGACAATTTATTCAATATGGCAGGGATATAACAAGAGTGGTTGTAAAGTGGCTAGTCTTGTAAATCAGGAGCTATGATCCTTAATCCACTGCTCAATCCACTTTAATATCTGATTGATGTTATCCTCTAGATCTTCTGGTTTATTGCTGGGCAGCTGATGTACTATTTCTTCCTTATAGGATGCTAATGCTTCTTCATAAAGAACTTGAAAAATTTCACATTGAATATTGTCTTTTAGTTTCTTCTCATTATAACCCCTGGAAGGCAATGAGAAGATAAAAACAAAACAAACAAACAAAAAAAAAACAGAAAATCAAACTGAATGGCATTAACTGGAGTTTTAGGAACACAACAGAAATAGGACACTTTCAAATACCTGAAAAATCATGCAAACATACTTCTTGTAATCTATTTACTTAAAGAAAATAGACTGGCACCTGTAAATATGAGGCTTTTTTATAAAGTTTCTTCCGAGAGAGGGAGAAAGCACATGCAGGGGAAGGGCAGAGAGAGAAGGAGAAAGAAAATCCCAAGCAGGTTCTGCACTGTCAGCAAAGAGCCCGATGAGGGGCTCGATCCCATGAACTGTAAGCTCATGACTTTTTTCACAAGAAGTTAAACTAAGATTCAGTGTTTAGGTTTGTCGTAATTTCCGCCCCCAAAATTTGTTATCCATTCAATTAGCAAACATATCTACTGACCTCAGGCCAGATATTGAGCTATGAGATAAATAATACGTCTTAAAGCTGTGGCCCTAGATTTCAAAAGAATTAGAAGAATTAAGACATACACAGATACAACAATGAGATAGTGTATAAAAATGAAATACTTATGGGGGGCCCTGGCTGACTCAGTGAGTGGAGCATGCAACTCTTAGTCTTGGGGTTGTAAGTTCTACCCTGTATTGGGTGTAGAGATTACCTAAAAAATAAAATCTTACGGGGCTCCTGGATGGCTCAGTCAGTTAAATCTCTGACTCCTGGTTTTAGCACAGGTCATGGTCTCACAATTCGTGAGATGGAGCCCCGCATCAGGCTCTGTGCTGATGGTGCAGAGCCTGCTTGGGATTCTGTCTCCCTTTCTTTCTGCCCTTTCCCAGGGCACACGTGTCCTCTCTCACTCAAAATAAATAAATTAACCTTACAAAAAATAAAAAATAATATTTAAAAAAATGAAGTACTTAATGATAGGAATACTATATACTAACTGGGTAGCTGATCATACAGATAGATGTATCTGTGCTTTACCAAGTCCAAAGACATAGAAAAAAATTAACTTACATTATCTTTAGGCAGATATGCAAATTAGCCAACTAATTAGCTAATGAAAAAGATTTTTAAAAATTCAAATTAGTTCAACCTTGTAACAATCAAGTGTAAACTGAATTACTTATGGGGTGCCTAGATGGCTCAGTCGGTTAAGCATCTGACTTTAGCTCAGGTTATGATCTCATGATTCATAGGTGTGAGCCCTGCATCCGGCTCTGTGCTGACAGCATGGAGCCTGGGGCTGCTTCAAGTTCTGTGTCTCCCTCACTTTCTGTCCCTCCCCCACTCACACTCTGTCTATCTCTCACTCAAAAATAAACATTTAAAACAAGTAAATTGAACTAATTAAAGGATGATTAACTTTATGAAAACATAACCAACAGAATGACAATATGTTTGCAAATCATATATCTTATAAGAAATTTGCATCTAAAATACAGAAAGAACTTTTACAACTTAATTAAGAAGGAAGCATAACCCAATAAAAAACTGGGCATAGGATCTGAAGAATTATTTCTCCCAATAAGACATACAAATGGGCAATAGGTACATGAAAAGATGCTCAATATCATTAGCAATAAAGGAAATGCAAATCAAAACAATGAGATACTACTTCATATCCACTAGGATGGCTACAATGAAAATGACAGATACACAAGGATGTGGAAATATTACAGCCTTCATACACTGCCCTCAGGAAGGTAAACTGATACAGCCACTGTGGCAGTCTAACAGTACCTCAAAAGGTTAAACATGGAGTTTATTACCTAGCAATCCCATTCTTAAATTCCATATCCAAGATAAATGAACATATAATGTCCACATAAAATCACAAGTACAAATATTCATAGCACTATTATTTACAATAGCCAAAAAATGGAAAAAACACAAATGTCTATAATCTGGTAAATGGATAAAAATGAAGTACTGATACATGCTGCAACATAGATGAACTCCAAAAAACATGTTAAATGAAAGAAGCCAGACACAGAAGATCATGTATTGTAAGATTTCTTTTATATAAAATGTCCAGAATAGGCAAATCCACATAGACAGAAGGTCAATTACTGGATGCTGGGGGCTGGGGGACTGAGAGGAAATATGAGGAGTGACTGCTAATGGGTATGGGTTTTTGGGGAGGAGGGGACAATGAACATTTTCTAAAATTGGTTGTAGTAATGGATGCATAATTCTGTGAATATACTAAAAACCACTGAAGTGTACACTTCTAATGAGTGAATTATATGTATGTGAATTTATCTCAGTAAAGCTGTTACTTTTTAAAATGTGATTACTTTGGGGCGCCTGGGTGGCTTAGTCAGTTAAGCGTCCGTCTTTCACTTAGGTCATGATCTCGCGGTTCGTGGGTTCGAGCCCCGCGTCGGGCTCCGTGCTGACTGCCAGCTCAGAGCCTGGAGCCTGTTTCGGAGCCTGTGACTCCCTCTCTCTCTGACCCTCCCCTGCTCACGCTCTCTCTCTCTCTCTCTCCTAGAAATAAATAAAACATTTAAAAAAAAATTAAAAATAAAATAAAATAAAATAAAATAAAGTGTGATTACTTTGTAACTTTTTCAATGGCTAAAAACAAATGAGGCAAGTTCTTTCAGACTTTTTCATCTTAGTCTTTAGCTATTTATATAAAACAGTAATTTTTTAAAATATTTTAAGTAATCTCTGTATCAAAGGTGGGGCCCAAACTTACAACCCCAAGATCAAGTGTAGCATGCTCCACTGACTGAGCCAGTCAGGTGCCCCAAAAGAGTAAATTTTTTTTTTTTAAAGATTTTAAGTAATCTCAACATCCAACATGGGGATTGAATTTACAATCCTGAAATCAAGCGTTGCATGCTTTACCACCTGAGCCAGCCAGGTGCCTCAAAGCAATAATTTTTAATAAAAAACTTAAATTGTTTTGTTTGCAAAAAGGAATGTGTACCATATGGTCTCTATTACTTCTCTGTTAAAACAATGTTCATGTCTTTTCACTGCCTAAAAAGATGATTAAAGTTTTAGGTCTAGCTCCAACTTTCCCCATATATTTGCTACCATACCCCTTGGTGTAAGGATTTTACAAGTATCCTATGTAGTGATGGTTAGTCAGAGCTGACTACTGTCACTGAGAACTACAAATTCTAAACCCGAACTTAGGCAAACTTTTAAAGCTTTCCTTCTGAGATTGCCTTGTAAATCCTTCTAGAACCTCCATCTTCCTACAGCTCGAATCAAAAGACAGTGGAAAAATGTTTCCCATAAAAATTCCTCATTTTTGGTTATTCTGGATTAAGACTGATGCTCTCTTGGAGGAACCAACTCAAAATATATTTTAAAGGGTGGAAATGTTGATTTACCTTGTAAGTTTTTCATAAACTTTCCTATTCATGTTTGAGTGGGTAACATACATTCAGTAGTCAGTGTATGTTGTTGGCTTGGCTGTTTACCCAGGAAGGTTTTACATTAAGGAAAGATCATGACTAAATAGGGTTGGTATTATATTTTATTGAGTTAAACTCTCAGTTGCAGTATTCATTTACTCAGTTATGAACTACTGCCTGTGTTTTACAAATGCATCTTTTTCTCTTGGATTCAGAATGCTGGTACCATACAGACTTGGTTTATAATGAGAGACCAATAGTTAAATATTCCAAAGGAATCGTTTATCATAGTTGTACTGGCTAATTTCAGGAATCTGGATAAAGGGTTACATCATACTTTAAGAATTCAGTGTTTTTCCTTTCTTACCTCGTTTCAAGTCTTTTGTACAATACACTGTTATCTGCTTGCAGCACAAAAACTATATGAAACCAGCGTTCAGGGAAGAAATCACAACCATGGTAGTCAACAATAACTCCACCTTCACTCATTTGGTTTTCTAATTCATCAACTACCTGTAACAAAGGGACAAAAATAATGCTCCTTTTAAAAACATGAGGTCAACTTTCCTATTAAATTTTAAGAAGTGTACTTTATAAAAAACTTGTACTTACTCTATCTTCATCTAAAATGGGGCAATCATACTCTTCATCATAGCCATCATATAATTGCCCTAAAAGAGATTTACATTGGCTTATTAAACTAAGTAATAAGTTAGTAACTTTCTAAGTAACTTTCAGTAACTTTCAATTAATTTTAGACTTTAGGAAAGGAAATGTACCATCAATTATTCTTTTAGAGACTAGAGAGGACACTAACACACAGTAGATGTCACACCAACACCAAATGTAAAGAGCAACACTGATTAAATCAGAATTTTATCTAGAGGGAAACTTGGATAGCAATATATCTGATAACATTTTAGCTATGAAAATTGAAGCCAACTAAAAAAAGAAATGATTTCAGAATTTGTGGGACTAACAGAAGAGGACTGCATTATTTTTTTGAGCTGTTTGGTGGGAAGAGGGGACACACGGATACAGACACTCTCACACATATTAACAGCAGATTAAGTATCAAATTTATTAGGCTAAGGAGATGGAACTTAGTAGAAACAACAACAGATTCTCAGTTCTAAACATGAGCCCTTAGTCACACAAGTCCCATCTTCATGGGGTCTGGGAAAGGAGAGTCCGTTTGACCCAAGTGCTACTGAACAGTATTTTTACTTCTAGATTTCCAGAATCTCAAAACCCATGGGTTGAATAAACGTTTCAGAAGGCAAAACAAGAATGATGGGCAGTTATAAAGAAGGATTTTCCAACAAATCAAAGCTGGCTTTCAAAGGAAGTCTTGCTTTAGAAGGTGAGACATAATCCTAGCTCCCTGAATCTCTAAGAGATATGTAATAAAGCAGGCTTAGACCATCCTTCGAGCCATCTCTAAGAGCATGCTATAGTCTTCCCACATCTTTCCCTTCACTATTTTGGCACAGTTTGAAATTAGGTTAGGATGAGCATGTGTTCCGAAGTAACAAAAGGGTACTTCTGAGGGTCAGTGGGAGGTACAGAGACAGTTGCAACTCCTTGTCCTGCCTGGACAGTGTATGGCCACATGAGCACCTCTCAAGCACCTTCGTGTGCCCTCTGCTTTCCTAGTTACCATGCAATTACCAGAAACTCTAGCTAAAAAATTAAACTGTCTTGGTACTGGGAAAACTGGTTAACGATTTAAAAATAATCTAAATCCTTTATACTGTAAACTGGATTAAAGAGCTAATGTTTTAATTCAAAGATAATTAGTGAAAAATTTAATCTGTAAAGGAATGGTTCATTTGAGTTTGTGAAGGAAAAAAATGACTAAATTTAATTAAATGCTATATCTCTGTTCAATGAAAAATAAGGTATCAACAAAAATAATAACTGGGAGGAATTTTTGTAGGACAAAAGGCCTGAACTGTAGATTACATAATGACCTTCAAAATCAAGATTAAAAGTACATACCTTAACAAAAAAAGAGTTCACACACAATGGAAATAATTAATAAACATACATGAAAAAATGTTGGCTTTTCCCAGCTATTAAAGAGATACACATTAAAATTACCCTTTTTATGCCTGTTGCATTAATTATATGTGTATATAATAAATTGAAAATGTATTTCAAGAACAATTTTAGGGGTGCCTGGGTGGCTCGGTTGAGCATCCAACTTAGGCTCAGGTCACGATCACATAGTTCATGGCTTTGAGCTGCGCATCAGACTCTGTGCTGCGCATCAGACTCTGTGCTGTCATGGTGGAGCCCGCTTCAGATCCTCTGTCTCCCTCTCCCTCTGTACCTCCCTGCTCACACTCTCTCTCTTAAAAAGAAACAAAACATTTTAAAAAATAATAATTAAAAAAAAGAAAATGTCATACCCATTCACAGATGTCCTCTACCATTTAATTTCTAGCCAAGAAAAAATGTAAGGGATAAAATGATAAAAAAAAATTCAACAATAGGAAAAACTTAAATCTCAGTTTACTAATTTGATAAAATATTATGTAATTAAAGTTAAGAAAATAACTATTAGGTAGTATTATGTAGTATAGACCAGATCACACATGTAAATGCTTATGACACAAAGGATAAAACATAACAAGCAGAATTCAAAGTTGTCTGTAATAGGGCCAAAGATTAGAAGAAACACAAAAGATGGAAATAAATTAGGATTTGGAGTACTTTTTTGGTGTATTATTTTTACAGTGCCACAAAATCTAATACCTACTGATGATTCCATATTATGTGGGAATCAGCAGTAGATAAATACTGAGGTTCCTTCATATTTTAAACCCTTGACTCTTAAGACTAGTGAAATCCTTTAAAAATATGCCATCTAAAATAGAAATAACAAATGCAATATTAAGTTAGAATTGAAGTCTTTATACCACAATGCTGAAATGCACTTGAATAGTGTAATCCAAGATTGAAAATACTATTTCAAAAAAAACTTATCAAATACCATGTACAAGTGACTGTAGGGATAATAAGGGTTTAATAATGACCAAAATGACCAAGAAGGCAAATGTAGTCTTTCCTTTAAAGAGTTTACAATGAGAGAGGACAGACAAGTAACCTGGAAATTATACTAGGATAATACTTTAAATGGGTCCAGTAAATTGAGGCCAGATCTAAAAGGGTTGCAGAGTTAGACTTTAACCTAAGGCAAAGTAAAATCATTAAAACATTTTAAGCCTGAAATGACATAATCAATTACAAATTTTTTAAAATTATTTTGGTTTCTCTGTAGAGAATAAGGAGGAAGGAAATCCAGAAGCAGGATACCAGATCGAGGCCACTGCAGAATTTTGGGTGAGTGATGATTATAACCTGTACCATAGGGAATGGAGAAATGGATTCTAAAGTTCATTTTAGGGGCCCCTGGGTGGCTCAGTCAGGTAAGCATCCAGCTCTTAATTTTGGCTCAGATCATGATCCTGACAGAGCAAAGCCTGTTTGGGATTTTGTCTCCACCCCTCCCTGGCTTGTGCTTTCTCTCTCTCAAAAAAAAAAAAAAAAATCCTTTAAAGTTCATTTCAAATTTCATGGGGCACCTAGTGACTTAATAATGCTCTCTTGCTCTTAAACATATTTTTTAAAAAGTTCATTTCAAATTTCAAAAAAAAAAGGAAAACATGCTGGTTTATTATTTTTTTTATGTATGCCACTTTAGAATGTTTCATCTGGACGTCAAATTTAGAGCTGTCTATATATAGGATCCTAACCTAGAAAAGATTAAAAGGCTTGAATTGGTTAAACTACCGAAAGCTTAGAAAATTTTATCAATTTTCTCAGCAAAGCTTTATGATTTAAAATTAGTTGCAGAAAACAAATTGATTGTGGGGCCAGAGTTAAACGGCTTAAGTTCTTACCTCTAAAGATCTCCCTAGCTGTTATTAGTCAAGCAATAAAATCATTACATTTTCTTTAACTTCCCTCCTAGAGTTTATACACTCACATGAAAGCTGTTCTTTAATGATGTTGGGATGCTCACTATCTATTTCGTTGCTATTGCCAATACTTAAAACATTTTCAGATTTTACTTTGTACTTTTTTAAAAGTAATCTCCATGCCCAAAGTGGGGCTTGAATTTACTTAAAACCCTGAGATTTTGATTCCCATGCTCCACAGACTCAGACAGCCAAACACCACCTTCCTCTCCCGCCCACCCCCCAATTTACTTTGGAAACATATTTACCACATTTACCTCAATCCAACAAGAAGCTTATATCTGTAATGCAATTAGTACAAGAAGCTAATTGGTTTGGAAGGATAGAGTGCTTTGTTACCTAACGTTTTATGTAGAGAAAAGCACAATGCAGCCTACTTAGAGAAGTTAGAGAGCACGGAAGACATGGCATTTGAGGTGGGTCTCGATTTTTTTTTTTTTAATCTCAAGCAGGATCCACGCTCAGTGCAGAGCCTGATGCAGGACTCCATCCCACAACCCTGGGATCATGACCTGAGCCACTCAACTGACTGAGCCACCCAGGTACCCTGAGTTGGGTCTTTTAGAGACAGATAAGGAAGCACATCTCCAGGTAAAGGGAAAAGCACATATAAAGATGTGGAGGTCCATTCCCATTGAGAAACAAGTGCACTGTGCAGAGACTGAAGGGAACATAGGGGAGTAAGGTAAGGCTAAAGGTAAACTATAACCAGTTCATAATCCATACATTAGGGATGATGAACTTTATCAGAAAGAAGTTCGTTTTATTTCCTCTCCCTCTTTTTAAAAAAATTTTCTTAACGTTTATTTATTTTTGAGAGACAAAGACAGAGCGTGAGCAGGGGAGGGGCAGAGAGAGAGGGAGACACAGAATCCGAAGCAGGCTCCAGGCTCAGCTCTCAGCACAGAGGCTGATGTGGTGCTCAAACCGATGAAATGTGAGATCATGACCTGAGCTGAAGTCGGACACTTAACTAAGCCACCCAGGCACCCCTCCCTCTTTTTTATAATGGACAAAATAATGGTATAGAAAAGGAAAAGATACTAAAGAGTAGGAGATTCAGGAGAAATGGACTTGGAAGTAGGATAGGAATACCATAGGGATTTTTCAGGCAAACCATCAAGATTTACCAGGCAAGTGGATCTGTGTAGTGTATGTATGTTTGTAGGTGAGGGGAACAAGATTCAAGTAGGCAAGTAGTCAGGTAGGAACTCAGAGCATGTGGCTTATTAAGTGTTTTAGTTTGTGGGAAGGTCTGGCAACTATCAAGGTGGTTACCTTTAGTACGTGTCTAGAAACTGGGCTCTTCTAGAAGCGAGTAACTAGTTCAGAGTCAGTGAGATTACTAAAGGGAGGGGCAAAACTACACTACAGCTGCAGCAAAATCCTGGGGAAAGATATATACGGAGGGGGAGGATCACACGCAGAATGGGAGACAGTAGCGCTGGGGGGACACTAGGGAGGTTAGTTTCAAAGCTTTCCAGGGATACCTTCCTGGGGAGGGGGAAAATGTGATAAAGAGGTTAGAGTGGGGTTAGCAAACTTTTTCTGTAAAAGGCCAGATAGGAAACACTTTATGCTTCGTGAGCTAGTCTTCAGTGTGGTTCCTATAAAAACCAGCAGCAGCTTGTCAACTCCTGGATTAGAAAGAGATGTGGATTTTAAGTGTTGAGGGCTCAGCTGTGCATAACCACCAATGTTTCAAATGGACCCAATGTTAATAGAACTACTTTGTCAAGACCTATGGGGATCCTGGCTGGGATTTATGAGCAGAAGCTGAAGACTGATAAACTTGTGGCAGGAAAATTAAGGACGCTGGTAAGTAATTAAGTGATTGCATATGGGAAAGGATATCAAGTGAGGAAGAATCTGAGACTGGAATAGTAAGGTAAGAAAAGCATTCTCACCCATACCATACTTAGGACTCCCCATTTTATTAAGCTTAATTTCCCACCTAATTTTTCCTGCCTTGGTTCCATATAGCATAGGAATAGTCTCTTACAAATATAGCAATTCAACAGGATTACCAGAGTGGTAATAAATTCCATTTACACAGATTTATTTAAAACAAGGGGGTTGTTTTTGGTCTTATTTTTTTACAGCAGGGTTTCTCAATCTCAAATACTGACATTTGAGCTTGATAATTCTTTTATGGGAGTGGAGGGCTATTCTATGAATTGTGGGATGTTCAACAAAATCCTTGGTTTCCCCCCCCAAGTCCTGACTACTAAAGTCTTCAGAAATTGCCAAATGTCCTCTGAAGGGCAAAAACCCCACCTAGTTGACAACCACTCCTTTAGAGATGATTACCTGGATTTCCTTAAAATATCACTATTTGAGAAAAATGAACAGGATAGGGGGATCAGTATATTTTCTAGGTTGAGATTTTCAGTTTTATTCGAATGGCATCTGGGGAAAAAAACAATCTGGTACATTATGAAAAACCTTATATAGTACCTTATCTAACACCATGTTAAGACAAAGCAGAAATCCTTTATCTGGCATTATGGGGAGAGAGGGGGACCCAACTTTTCCTTTAAGGCTTAGATTCTATCTTATTAATCTCAACAATAAAATACACAGGATGTTTGCGACTATATACACCATTAGGTGCACACACATTGGCTAATAGTGTTGAGTACAAGTATAAAAGGAACCAAGTATCTAGTGTTATTTTTCCTCTCATACTATTCATGATAGATTATATAGCAAGTTCACTACGTTTCAAAATGTTAAATTCAGTGGGTAAGATAAACTGGAAGACTGAAATTGACAGTGGTTATGTGACTCTGAAATCACTTGTCAAAAACTGTGAAGTTCATCAGGCAATGGAAAAAAACTAGATTTTATATAGGTATAAAATGGGAGACTGACTAGCCATGTACAAACAGCAAATACCTACATTTTATGAACTATACTTAAATACCAGACCTGGATTAAAAATAGGACCATGAGTGGCATCTGGGTGGCTCAGCAGTTAAGCATCTGACTCCTGGTTTCGGCTCAGGTCATGATCTCATGGTCATGGGATGAAGCCTCACATCCGGCGTGAGGCTGAGTGCGGAGCCACTTAGGAATTCTCTCTCTCCCTGTTTCTGTCCCTCCCCTGGTCAAATGTGCACGCATGTGCTCTCTCAAAACAAGTAAAACACTAAAAAAACATGGGCATGATACTTAAGCGTATCAAGAATATGACAAAGCTAAGATGTATAAAACTAACCTGCAGAAGGGGCGCCTGGGTGGCTCAGTCGGTTAAGCCTCCCACTTCAGCTCCGGTCATGATCTCATGGTTAGTGGGTTGGAGCCCCACGTCAGGCTCTGTGCTGACAGCCAGCTCAGAGCCTGGAGCCTGTTTCAGATTCTGTGTCTCCCTCTCTCCCTGACCCTCCCCTGCTCACGCTGTCTGTCTCTCTCAGAAATAAATAAAACATTTAAAAAAAATTTTTTTTTTTAAACTGCAAAAAAGGAGACTGGGGGAAAAATTGCAGGGAACAAGTGAGCAAGGGGCAGAGAGAATCCCAGGAGGGGCAGCAGGAGGAGAAAGGGGGGAAGAGAGAAATGGGGCTGACCTGAAGCAGGGCTCACCCAATGTAGGGCTCAAGCTCACCGAACATAAGCTCATGATCTGAGCTGAAGTCAGACGCTTAATGACTGAGCCAGTCAGGCGCCCTACTGGAAAACAATTTTTTTTTTTAATTTTAAAGTGGGGAGATAATGGGACACACATCAAAGGTCCTTAAATATAACCAAAGATATCAAAAAAAAAAAAAAAAAGGACCTAGGAAAAGTTGAAGGATTGACAGTTTATTCATCAAAACAGATGAAGTGGTTTCTCTAAAAAACACATGAGAGTGACTTACACACTAGAGATCATACTGTGGTTTAAGCATGACCGCACTAGGAGTAACACTCTAGTGGTACTGAAGAGGCCACGACAACTTCAAGTTGCTGTAAGAGTTATTTCTGTTGGCGACATGAGAGAAAACTGCTTCTAAAAACATAACTGCCGAAGTACCAACAAATTGATGAAGAACAACTTTATTTTTAACTTAAAGGCTGATGAAAAACCATTACTAATCCTATTAAAGAAAATCCAACATCTCAATCAGAAAAGATAACTATATTTACTCATTAAATACCATTTACATCTTCTACAACACAACTTGAAAACACCCAGCATGCTTGTTTAATTTCAGTACAATGGATTCAAGACCAAGTATACATGTTACAAGCATCAAGGCTAGATTACAAATTATCATAGTCATCATCGTCATCATCATCGTCATCATCATCATCTTCTCGTTTTCTTTTCAATGCATTTGCTGATTCATTGGCTGTATTTTGTGATGATACCATGTTAGTGGTAATAAGAATGTTCTTGGACCCAATTAATGATGGATTAATCAGAACATTCTGAACTGTAGATGTTGCAGGAATTGATGCTTTTACAGTTGGGGACTGTGAAGTGGGCATCTGTACTGTAAACCTTTGCCCTGTTAGGGACATTGGAGTCCCTACTTTAGTTGACACAGACATGGTTTGTGGGGTTGGGGTGCCAAGCGTGGGAGTACTTGGTCTGCTGGTAACTGAACCAACACTTAACCGGGGAACTGTTATCCTTCCCGCAGAAGTAGATGCCTTTTTTTGTAAAGACTTAAGTCTATAGTTTGGAGCAGTCAAGCAATATCTATCAGGTGGCAACCTGGGGCCCGAATATGGCTTGATTAATGGCAAAGGAGTTTGATTTCTTTGCCTTGCAATATCTAATAAAAAATCTCTTGGGGGAGGGGAGGTAAAAGACTGGTCAGCACGGCACTGGATTGCCAATCGCACATCATCTGCATCAACAGTAGCTTTCTTAGCATGGCTTGAATAAATTTTTGCTTCATCTAGAATTGTGGTCACATATCGGAAGGCAAACTCCAACATCTGATTTATAACTCTTGGCTCATATTCTGTAATCCCCATATCCTTCAGGATTTGTGCCATCATCTGTGCATCTTTCGGCATGCTCTTGGGAGAAGCCATCTTGCCAGACTCCATGATATCCGGTGATCAGACTTTAGATTATTTGAAAAAAATATGTACATTAGATCAAACCTGAAATAGTTACTTTAGTAGCAACGGTCAGGAACTTTCCATATTTTAAATACTGTTAAAATTTTGAAAACATATTTAAAATTTTTAAATATCAAATCATTTTAATTTTAATGAGGCACACTTAAAAGTCCCCTTTACTTAAATTTATGGAGTTTCTACCCTGTACAAATCATTACAGAGTATAAAAAAATGAAGACACAAATAAGGGAGTAATAAAAGACTGGGGGGAAACAGGGTAAAATAAATAAAAACATTTATCACTTCAGAATAATGTTCAGTTGTGTGCAGGCATGCAACTACTAAATGAATGTAAAAAAAATCAGAGAACAGTCGATGTCCTACTGACTTGAGTTCAAAATGTGTCCTTCCAGTGAGATCAATATACTATCTCCTCAATATGCTCAGTACCACCCACACTTTTATGTGTTTGCCCATCTCGAAAACATTCTCCCCAATTCCCAGCTCTTCATGGAAATGCTCCTGGTTATTACCACTCAAAAAAACCCTACTGGCCAAGAGGGCGGGGAAGGAAAGGGTACAATGGTCACAACAACCACAACACAGTATTACACACTTATTTTCTCTTTCTATGGGTCCCCAACAGAGCATAAATTCTTTAAAGACTCTCTGTTTCTGCTTTTTGTACCCTCTCTCAAGTATAGTACTAACACTCCATTATCTACTCTTTAAAAAAACAAAACCCAAACTAGCACCAAAGTATCCCTTACCTTCTCGAGCTAAATCACCCACATTAATGTATTTCAGTCCTGATCTTGATGCAAGTTCTTTGCCTAGCGTGGTTTTTCCAACCCCTGGTGTACCTGTAAGACAAGCCACAGAAGAATACTGTTCATAAAATATGTTAGACTTTAGCCACCTATCTACCCTTCTTAAAGTTCTTAACAACTGAAATGAAAAACTTCCTAATTAGTAATCCTCTGTGAATCACTATACACTATGACCTAATCAAAGCTACTCAAAGACCATTGGATAACAGAATCTCGCCAGATGTACCTGACCTATCAGGAGTGGACTTCGGTGATTCTGATACCAATTCACAGACTGCCTCCCACCACAGCAGATACTCCCCTAACACTAAGTATTCCAAATTACCATCATGTACTTGCTTTAATTTTTAAAAAAATGAAGAAATTATTCATGGAAAAATATAACCAGTATGAGGGGCAAATCTCATTTCCACTACTGGCTCCCTATACTCCTCCTTAGAGGCAACCACCAAAAAGCAGTTCCTTTTGTTACCTTTCTCTATATGTACATATGTATATCGTACGCATTTTAATATAATAAACACACCATAGAGTTTCAGATAAATATCAATACTTGACATTGTTCTTCGCTTTTCATTTTTTTACATCTACTGTATTTCAAAATAACCAACTGCATAATTTTCATCTCACAACAGGCTTACAGCCACTTAAATTATAAAACTTGGTCATTAGAACTAAAGATAACAGGAACAAATCAAGTTTCCATTTACAGATCAATAACTTTTATTTCAAGTCCATTCTAGTACACGAAGTTTGAACCCTGGACTATCCTGTTGTTTCTCCCCCGCCGCCCCGGACTACTGTGTTTTCCATAAAACGTTCACCTTTAGATTTTGACAGTGCGGCTTAATACTAAAATGCCAGGACACTGTCTGACCCCAACAGTTCAGAAATTGTACGATCTTCCCCTAAGGAATCGTGAAAGGTAAACGACTTGAGAGGTTAATCTGTATGTTTCAAAAACTGACAGGACGTGGGCGCTGTCAACAAGCTTATGTTTTGTTAAATAATAAACTTTTACTGCTTTGTTGCCACGAAGAGCGTCTCAATTTTTGTGCTGCAACACAAACTACAGCCTTGAGACTTTTCCACGAATGCCCTACGATGCTATTAACTAGTACAATCTAATGAACATTTAACTAGCCAACAATATTCTTTAGAATCACAATGCAACATTTTAGCACGCCTCCCATACAACAAGCGCGCTGCCTACGGGGACAAAGACCGAGAAGGGCCGAAGCTATCATCCCGGGAACATTACTACACCTCTACACGAGAAACTATCAGAGACGCTCAGTAGGTGCCTTTTCTACACAGAAAAGAGCTTCTGATGCTAACTCAACAAAAGCAAATTAACCACCCTAAGCCAAAAATGTCCGAACCCTTTTACGCAAAAGGGATTGTCAGAAGGGCGCCTGGGTGGCTTAGTCGGTTAAGCGTCCGACTTTCGCTTAGGTCATGATCTCGCGGTTCGTGGGTTCGAGCCCCGCGTCGGGCTCTGTGCTGACTGCCAGCTCAGAGCCTGGAGCCTGTTTCAGTCTGTGACTCCCTCTCTCTCTGACCCTCCCCTGCTCACGCTGTCTCTCTCTCTCTCCTAGAAATAAATAAAAAATATTAAAAAAAAAAAAAAGGGATTGTCAGACACCAAAAAACGAGCAAGAGCCAAGGCAAGCCTAAGGACAAGATATCCAGCACTAAAGACAGACTAACTGCTTTGCATCATTACCTCGCTTAAAACTCTAAAGACAACCCTACCAAATAGAAAACCAACAGCCATTTTACAAACAAAAGCCAGATTCCGAATGATTCGGCAGCTTGCGAGAAAAGAGACCAGCATAAGTTTCCCTCTCTACACCTCACCGAATGGCCTCGAGGCAAAAGAAGCAACGTTCCCCGCCCCCCGCAACAGTCGCAAAACCAGATTTCCAGGCCCGGACTACTGCTACACCGCGCGGCCCTCCACTAGCCTCGAAACAGAACACCGAACGGCACGGCACCCCTTCCGGCGCCCGACGCCCCACGGCACTCAGCGTCCTCGGCCGGCCCCGCCGCCCAGCGCCTCCCCAACGCGCGCCTGACCGGTGAGCAGGATGTTCGGAAGCAACATGGTTCTCGACGCGCTGGCTCCCGGCGCTTTGGCTCACGCACACTACGCACAACAGGGAGGAGCCGGAAGGGGCGAGCTGCGGCGAGCGCCCGTGGCCCCGGGGTCCTCGAGGCCCATGCGCGACGCTCGTGGCCCATCTTCACCGTCTAGTCACCGATCACCGGTTACCTGGCCTCCTATAGCACGTTTTCAGTGCATTGTCCCAGGCTAGAGCACAGGTCAGGTCCGCGCTTCGCGTCAGGCAATGCGGTAGATGCCTAGGTCACAGGCGCCGTGGGCGGCCGCCCTTCTGCCTGTGTCGCGTAAGCGCCGACTGGTCTAAAAGGTCCCCGGGAGGCGGGACTTCTGGGAGGCCCGGCGCTGCGCCCGGGTAGGGCCAGGCGGTTGCCTTTCCGCTGGAGGAGAGCTTGGGCTCCCCCGCTCCTCTCCGCCCACGAGGGGATGCAGCTCCCGGAAAGTAAGGCTGTCGCGGCTGCGGCTGTAGTATATATGTATCTTAGAGCCTCGAACTCATCTGTGCCTTAACGCCTTCCCGAGCCCTCTTCGTTCCTCTCGGCTTGCCCGTCCCATTTGGAGATGAGAGGGTGGGGGTGCAGAACTCTGGCCTGGGGTCGGGGCATGCGAGCGCATCTCGGCTGATTAGTAGCAGTGACGTTTGACGAGTGTCTGGTCTTAGTGTCCCCCTGCAGTGTGTGTGGCGGGGAGTGGGAGGGTGAATAGAAATATTCTTGGAGGTCTTTTCTATCTCTGACATCTCATTTCAGGAAACTAGCATCCATCATCTGGGACAGTTATTTTCTTTTTTAAAGGAAGTAATTGTCAGTCTTGTTTCCAAAGACCAACTGGAGTCCTGATTGTAAAAACAGTCTGCATCTTTTATTTCGACCTGCCAACTATATTTATTCAACAGCTGCTTTTTTCCACCTAACTACCTCTGAAAGTCCAAAGTAAAAACGTCTCTAATAGTGAACAGTTTGTGTGTGTGTATGGTTTGTTTTCTCGTGATGGAAGCTTTTACACATATAAACTGTGCGTACATCCAAACCGTAAAGCCTAATACACTTTCCAGTTTATAAGTTTGCAGACCTTAACACTTTCCAGTTTATAAGGTTGCAGATCTTTAAAAAAAAAAAAAAAAAAAAACTTTGCTTCTAGCTAATTTAATATTGGTGAATTCACTAGTTTATATAAACATTGAAAAATTATTAAAGTCGGAAAACACAGTGTTACCCCCAAATTTCCTAGTATGTTTAAGTAAGGAAAACAGAGTTGTTATTCGGTTAGATTTAAAGTCTTTTTCCAAAATAAGTGAAAGTCTGCATTTGTTATATGGTCAGTGTTATTGAAATTTTGTGGGAGGAAAAAAAACTAAAACCCTGTAATGGTAACTTAAAGTGAAGGAAATTTTAGTTTTCAGCATAAAAACTACACAAATAGAATTGTCTCATTTTTTTCTTACTGATAAAATGTGAAGTATGTGTTTTTTCTGTTTTCTCTAATATATTACTGAGTACTTGTGAAAGACTATGTTTAATACCACAAGTAGATTATTTGATACTGTTAATAGTAATTGAAGGTACACTTTATTGTAGCGTTTTGACTTCTTCATCTATATTTGCTATGATGTCTTTCACTAGTTCTTGAACCTTTATTATACTGTTGATTACACTGGTATATGTTATTATACTTCTATTTTACAGTTTTTCCTATTTTGATTTTTTTTTCCTTTTTTTTCCCCTCTAGGTGAAGTATACTTTAATGTACTACAGGTTGTATACTACGGATGGGAACTATTAAAGCTTATAATGTCAAAAACTTATCTTAGACCAAAGGTATCTTCCACAAAGGTATGATCCGCTAAAATGGCCATGTAATATTTGTCAAAAAAAAAAAAAAGGTATATGTATATGTGTATGTTCTTAATGACTTATTATTGACATCAAAGTAACAATGTCCAGTATCTATAATTAATGATCTAAAAATTGTGATAATAAGTTGTGAAATGACTAAAAGCACAACCTTAATTTTTAAAAAGTGATTATAATCTCAATCACAAAGAAAAGGCTGAAAACTCTTGAATGAAAGGTCAGTAGAAGAAAAAGAAATACATGAGTCATAGTTAGTGTTAAAGCTGAACAACAAGCAGTGCCTCGTAGAAATCATGTATTATAGTGTGCCAGTTCTCAGCAAGGCTAGTTGGTAGAATAGGATGGGGATCAGGTGGTATCATACTCATTTGCAGGGTAGCTATTTTCTAGTGGTGGTTCTTATTTTTTTCTGATCATAAGTAAATTATTAAACTTTGTTTAATAATTTTTCTCATTTTTTTCAGTAAATGGGGGTCCACATTTATGTAAGAAATAAAAGTAAAATTTATAAGTAACATGCAGATTAGAATTATGAGATTAAGGGTGCCTGAATGGCTCAATCATTTTAAGTCTCTGATCTTGATTTTGGCTCAGGTCATGATCTCATGGTTCATGAGTTCGAGCCCTTCAGTGGGGCTCTTGCTGGCAGTACAGAGCCTGCTTGGGATTCTCTGTCTCGGGGTGCCTGGGTGGCTCAGTCGGTTAAGCGTCCGACTTCACCTCAGGTCATGATCACATGGTTTGTGGGTTTGAGCCCCACATTGAGTTCTGTGCTGACAGCTCAGAGCCTGGAGCCTGTTTCAGATTCTGTGTCTCCTTCTCTCTCTGCCCCTCCTCCACTCATGCTCTGTCTCTCTCTGTCTCAAAAATAAATTAAAAAAACAAAAAAGGGATTCTCTGTCTCTCTTTCTCTCCCCTTCCCCGCTCCTATGCACTCACACAGGTGTCTCTCTCTTTCTTTCAAAAATAAATATACATTTATAAAAAAAAGAACTGCAAGATCAGATTTGCTATCAAAAAGTTTACTATAGCAGATGATACTTTTGCATGCTCTTAAAAATACAAGAAAAGAGCCAAAATTGTAGTACTACTGACAGTCTTCTGGAGAAGAGGAAATTAATTAGGTGACTATGACTGAATTTTTTTTTTCCAGGGGTCTTCATTTCTTTACCCACTGCTGATAATATTTCTGACTTTTCATCCTTAAAGTGGGAATGAAGTGTGACTTTTATTCCGAAAATACTTCTAAATCCCAACTTGGTTTTCCTTAGCATTGCCTAATATATTGTTCCCAACTATGAGTATTCTTCAAGGAAAATATACCTTAAGTTCCCCCTTGTTAGCCAGGGAATGTCAACCCCCCACCCTTTTTTTTTTAACGTTTATTTATTTTTGAGAGACAGAGACAGAGCATGAACAGGGAAGGGGCAGAGAGAGAGAGAGAGAGAGACACAGGATCTGAAGCAGGCTCCAGGCTCTGAGCTGTCAGCACAGAGCTCGATGCGGGGCTTGAACCCAGTAACTGCGAGATCATGAACTGAGCTGAGTCAGACACTGAAGTCAGACACTTAACCAACCATGCCACCCAGGCGATCCCCTTTTTTTTTAACTTTTTTTTTTTTTTTAACATTTATTTATTTTTGAGAGACAGAGACAGAGCAAAAACAGAGACGGGGCAGAGAGAAAGGGAGACACAGGAAGCCAGGGAATTTCAAAAGCCAGGTACTAAGCTAGGTTTTTCTAGATTTATACTGTAGGAATATTAAGAAAATATCTTAAAAATGTTAGTTACTAAAAAAAAAAAACTTTTTAATACTCTTAAACATTTTTAGTCTTTTCTTAAATGTTTATTTATTTTTGAGAGAGCAAGAGCTCATGAGCGAGAGAAGGGTGGAGAGAGAGACACACACAGAGGATCTGAAGTAGGCTCTGCATTGTCAGCACAAAGTGTTTTGTGGGGCTCAGTCTCACGACTGTGACATTATGACCTGAGCCGAAATCAAGAGTTGGATGGTTAACCAACAGAGCCACCCATACAACCCTAAATATTTTTAGGTTTAAATTGCTTAATTCATCATTTCTCTCTGTGTATACTTATAAAGGATTCTAAAGAAAAGGTAATAATGGAGGGAAATGTAGAAAGATCAACAGTTTCTATACCAGAAGTGCGTGAAATAGAATTCAGTGATTTTCCTGTTCTATTCAAGTTCTGTTTTCCTGATCTCGCGGCTCATGAGTTTGAGCCCCACGTCGGTTACTGTGTGGGCAGTGCTGAGTCTGCTTGGGATTCTCTCTCTTACCTGTCTCTCTGAACCTCCACTACTGGTACTTTCTCTCTCTTTCAAAATAAACTAACTTAAAAAAAAAAAAACCCAAAATAATTATTCATAGCACCAGGATTCTTAGACTATACCTTCATAGAAGTTAAAGCTGGTAAGGATTATTTGGATATATGCAATGGCTCTTAGTTTGTGAATGTATTTAACCTGGTCAAGGCAGAAGTATCACTCTTCCTACAGTTATACATGGTTAAAATAGTATTTTATTTCCTTATTTAGTTTTGCTTCTTTTTTAGTACATAATTTTAATATTCTTGTGTTAGTCTACGAATAAGTTTAAGAATAATCAGCCTATTCTATACTGGGAATATTATAATTAGTAAAAAGAGTTAAGTTTGTATTCTATGTTCCTTTATATAGCATTCATCATTATCCTGGTTAAGTGGACAAGTAGACATTTTTACCTAGCATGAAGTAAAAAAATAACTAATACATACAAAGCCAGTTTTACTTAAAGAATTAAATTAAAAAAAAAGAATTAAATTGTGAGATTTTTGTTTGAAATATTGCAAGAATGTGAATGTATTTTTTTTGTAGCTTACTTATATAGGGAATAGAGGCAGAAAATATATTTACATTTCTTTTTTTCAGGTAACAA